TTTGCCAGGTTAGCCTCAAGATACGGGCGGCGCCATGTGCATCACTCACTCTGGGGGTAGAAACTAACGCTAGTTCCGGGAGACGCGGGGAGCTGATCAAACGACATGTCCGTCTCGTTGGTGTTCGTGTCCATGGAGTCCTGAGACCCGAGGATGACACTCAACGCGCTCACGGCCTTTTGGGCCTCCTTGGACGAGCTGCTTGAGTCGAGCCATATGCCGTATGAGCGTTGTAAGGATGCTTGTATCGTGTCAACGCTGGTGCCTCCTTCGGCGCCTGCCGTCGCCGTCTCCCCACGGACCTGCTGCAAGTACGCGCACAGGACGCTAGTGGCCAAGAGAAAGTCGTGATTGACAAGGGAGGTAACACGCCACCGCTCTTGGTACAGCTGACAAAACGGCCGCGTTTCTTCTTGCAGCATATGCTGATATTCAAGAAGCTTCAGCGCTGCGTCCAGGCATGCCTGTTGGGAATAACCGTAGGGGGTCTTGGTCGGCGAACAATTGAGATACCGCCGGTGGAGTACAATCCTCGCTCTGTGGTACATGATTTCCAGATAAACCTTTTGCATGATGATCTGTGGTGAGTCGAGAATGCATTGCGCCATTGATCGCCATTTGAGGCACTCGGGGATGGAGACATAGGTCCCTCGCAGCTTCGTGTCCATGCCCATGACATCTTCGTACGTGTAAGACCTTGTGTTGGCTGCAAAGTCCCAGATGAAGCCGATCGTCGACATCATTCGGCCCTTTACCAGCCGATATAGCATAGGAGTGAGATCGTTCTCTGGCCGAGCTGCAGGCATCTCCTTGGTTGTCTTATTGAAGTCATTGTCTTGAAGATTTGCAGGTTCCACCGTGTCCGTCTGCCATTGCTTGATCAGCCGGGGAAGGCCCATCTGAGCGGAAATGCCAATATCAAGCTCGACGATTGTTGCCCAGACCCTCTTTCGCATCTCTCCCACAAAAGGCGACATCTCTCGAAACTGTTCTGGGTCCCTATGATATCCCATGTACATTGCGAGCTGAACCGCGGTGCCTAAGAGGATCCAAACCCCAATCTCGGCGTCGTTTCGAGAGAAGAGCTCAACTGCAATGTATAGGAGGAGCGTTTCGAGCACGTGCGGGCCACCTTTGGCATATTCTCCTAGAATCAGACATTGCACAATTTTGTCCTTAAATGTCTCCACCATGTTCTCGAGATCTTGCTCTGTCGAGGGAGTCGCTGGAGTCTGGCTGTTAGGGTCAAGCCTCGATATCTGAAACTGCGCCGCTAGACACATGATGGTGAACAGTAAACCAAGCCATATGACTGGGGTTGCGGATGGATCCTTCCAGAAGTGTTCGTACTTGGCGATGTTAGCAATCGAGTTGCAGCTAGGCAGACCGTTGGCCTACCTCTTCCAAAAATTGAGCGCTGTGCAACACAGCTGCGTCCCGCTGTCAGTTTCACAATAAGTTTCACTTCTGAACAATACTGACCCGTAGACATCTCAAAGGAGCTGAAATAGCGCGACACCAGACGATCTACAGCTTGCCGTGGAGGAATAGACTCGATGATTTCTTGCTTGGTCGGAAATTTGCTACAGCCATAGAGTAGCCGTGGGCCCGTTCGCTCAGGAATCGAAAGATCATGGACATCGGTGCTGGCAGGACTGTTCTCTTCACTCTCGAAATGGTCCTTGAGTTCTGCGATTCCATTCAAAACTGCCGCCCAATGAGAACTGTTGACATAACTGGTACCAGAACTAGTCAGTTGCAGACTACCCGCTTCAGATCCAGGTGAGGCGCTGTTGTCAGTCTCCAGCACTCTGTCCGTGCCAGACTGACTTGTCGTGAGCAACGGACTCGGCAAATGCGACGTTGGGAGGGCTTGACCAGACTGGGCCGCGTGGCTTGCCAATGTTCCTTGCATCAAGTCCACCACTAAGTTCTCGAGCTGCTGGATTCGATCTTGTACCGTGCGTACAGGTTGTTCAGCACCAACCGGGCGCGCCGCTGATTGAGCGGCATATGAACATGAGAGGCTCAACCCACGCTGCACACACGATGCGCAGGGATGCTGTCTGTCGCATCGCAGTCTGATAAGATTATTGTTAGCTCTTGCGCCCTTCTATCAAGCGAGTGAGTATAGGTTGCGGTGAGCTTACTTTCTCTGCCTGCACAGGTTGCAGGAGAACTGAGGTCGCTCGCGACGCCTGCTGGAGGGTAAGCGGGCCCTGCCTCTGGCCGTCTTGCCCGGGCCCCACTCTGGGAGTTGAGGTTCATTTGATTCTAACATTGTCGGCGAGGTAGAGGCAAGCTTCCTGCTAAAACTCATGCGTGTCAATCCCTGTAAGCCACGAACACCCGCCCCGCCTACGTCCGCTCCGGTGCTCCACGGACTTACTGCATTTGGTCGCTCAGTCTCACCACCATTCGCTCGGAGAACCAGAACATTCACGTCCGTTTCTGGCTTGACGTTGTTCTGTAACCGGAGCAAATGACAGATCCGCGGACTTCCTTTTACGACCAAGAAAGCGAGGAAGCCTTCAAGAGAGCCGTACTGCTTCCAATGTTCGTGCTGCAACCTGCATAGCAATAACGGCCAGGCACCCAGATCGATGGATATTCGACGTGCAATGGCTCATTCAACTGCTGGCGACCGGGATCCAAAAGTGGGTAGTGAGCAGTACTCCTCGATTGCTCAACTACACACGGAGTCTATGAACGATCCTTGGGGTGACCCCAACAGCCCTGAAAATCCCCTGAACTGGCCAGCGCCGAAGAAGAAGTTTCATGTGGCCATTGTCAGCACTTTTACCCTCACAGCGTAAGTACTGACCTATTGTGATCCTGAGACCAGTACACGAGTGCTAACTTGAGAACCCCAGCAACTTGGCGGCTACTATGTTCGCCCCCGGAGCACCCCAGCTTGCCAAGGAGTTCAACATCACCAACTCCACTGTCGAGGCCATGACTGTCAGTCTCTACGTGCTAGGCTTTGCATTCGGCCCTCTTCTGCTCGCGCCTCTGTCCGAGCTGAACGGCCGACTCGTCATTTACAACGTTTGTAATGCCGCTTACATCGCCTTCACTGTGGGATGCGCCTTCAGTACCAACGTGTCCATGTTTCTCGTCTTCCGGTTCCTTTGCGGCTGCGCTGCCTCGGGGCCAATGACCATTGGCGGCGGTACGGTCGCAGACATCACTCCTCAGGAGAAAAGAGGCAAGGCAATGGCCCTGTTCGCGATGGGCCCAATTTTAGGACCTGTACGTTTGGTTTCCAGTCGGGACGACCCTTTCTATCTAGATGCTGACCACATAGGTGCTTGGCCCGATCATCGGAGGCTACGTGTCGCAGTACACTAATTGGCGCTGGACGTTCCGAATAATCTTGATCATGGTAGGTCATCCTGGCCGGATAACAAACGTTCAACTGCTAATCGGTATTGCGTTCAGTCTGGTATCATCGGTTTGGCCACCATGTTCTTCATGCGCGAAACCAATGCTGCTGTTCTCTTACGCAGAAAAGCCAAGCGGTGGCCGAAGGACGCCGAGGGTATGGAGATTGAGCCGAATAAAGCCAAGAAAGAGACGCCCAGTCAGGTCCTCGTCCGTGCTATTACACGGCCGTTTAAGATGCTCCTATTCTCGCCCATTGTCCTGCTCATATCTCTCTACACTGGTGTGCTATTTGGTCTCATCTTCCTTCTCTTCACCACCTTCCCTACTGTCTTCCAGGGAGTCTACGGCTTTGATGAAGGGACATCAGGGCTGGCATACCTCGGTCTCGGAATCGGCATGTTTCTCGGCCTGGTGGTCTTCTCAGTTCTCAGCGACAAACTCCTCGGGCAGAAGCAGGGTGGTACTGTCAGCAAGCCAGAGCAGCGTCTCGTCTTAATGAAGTGGTTTGGGCCCATCACATCGCTGGGCTGCTTCATGTACGGCTGGAGCGCCTACCACCACGTCCACTGGATCGTCCCTATCTTGGGTACTCTCATCATCGGCTTTGGATCTCTGTTCGTTGTCATACCCGGCCAGATATACCTCGTGGACTCCTTTGGTGCAGAAGCCGCAGCTTCGGCTCTCGCTACTAATCTTCTTGTGCGCTCTCCATTCGGCGCGTTTCTGGGCCTTGTTGCAGCGCCGTTGTACGAAAAACTGGGTCTCAGCTGGGGTAACAGTGTCTTGGGTTTCATCACTCTTGCGTTTACGCCTGTTCCATGGCTGTTCTACCGATATGGAGAAACCTTAAGGACGCGGTTTGTGGTAAAATTGTAGTGATGAAGACCATGGGTGCCGTCTCTGGAGCGCGACGGCGGCTCAACCTCCTGTATTTTAGTGTCAGACTCGTTCAGTAGGGATAGTCCCTCGTCCTCTTTCTTGTTTGGATTCGTCGGAATGGCATCCGGATGCATCGGGTATAGAGGCAACAGAATGCATTAGTTCTCAATAGTCCGTTCGTCGAAGGAAGACCAGGTGCAATCACACACGAATGACAGAAGAAGTGCAAGACAAAGACAATTCGTCGCGCACCGTCTCAGGCGTTGTTGATGTGCTAGACTCTTAATGTATCTAAACTCTTGCGACGCTAAAGTTGGTTTTAGGCTGAGCACTAGTATTTAGTTAGAAAACTAGCTTGAGTAGTACAATATTTCTCACACGCTGCACATTCTGGTAGTCTTCGTATAGTAGTTGTGGGGCTCCATATGCCTTATCCTCGACACTGGATCTCGGTCGAATTGGAGTTGGTGATGAGATTCTGACTTATCACTGTAGGTCTAGTCTTTTAAAAGACGAGTCGTTTACGCGTCCTTGATGCACGGACACAATAACCCCGTAATTAGAATGCGCCAACTCGGAGCCGCAGTACCCGGCGACGCCATCACCCCACAATAATCCTGTCAAAGTCTTGGAAACTCCTTACATCAACCACTATACATTGTCAACTTGACTTTGATACATCGGTGTAGAGGTGGAGCTGGAACGCTGTTCGTGCGCCCACCCAAATACTCGCCATGAATTGTCCTTCGCGCACGGATCCGGAATTTCCGGAAGGATACAACCAGAACCCGAATGCGCTCAACACGGATGCGACGACGAGGGCGGATCTAGGATACTTGGCGAACGCAAGGGCCAGGGATGATAACCGAATAGATTGTCACAACATGGATAACGACATAGCGATAGATCGTCGGCAAGAGACTGAAGAGGATGGTAAATTGCAGCCCAAAGCCTTCGACGGCTTGCGCAGGAGGAGCGATGCAACGGGGAGTGTGGACAACGGCCTTGCTAGTACGGCCATCAGACCGTCTACCATCTTCAACGAAGGACGAGACGTCCATCGACCGAAGTGTCGCGGAGGTGTAATTGGTGGTGCCATTGAAGTCGTCCGCAAGTATTTGAAATTTGTAGGACCTGGCTTCATGGTTGCCGTGGCATACATCGACCCTGGTGAGCCATGATCTATTGATGGCGCAGTTACGCTATTTGCAACAACCATCTAAAAGTATCAAGAAAACGCTGACTAGTTCAAGGAAACTACGCGACCGACGTTGCAGCTGGTGCTTCTTTCGAGTACAAACTTCTCTTCATTGTACTAATGTCTAATATCTTCGCCATCTTCTTGCAATCGCTCTGCATCAAACTAGGCTCCGTCACCGGCATGAACCTCGCGGAGAACTGCAGAGCCCATCTTCCGCGGTGGATGAACTATACGCTTTATTTCTTTGCGGAGTCAGCCATCATCGCGACAGATATCGCTGAAGTGAGTCTCCTTTCTCCTGCTGCTAGTCCATGCTAACCTGTACAGGTGATTGGTACAGCGATTGCTTTGAACATCCTCATCAAAGTCCCTTTAGTCGCCGGGTGCGCACTGTCTATTGTGGATGTTTTGATCATTCTTATCTTCTACTCCCCTTCAGGCACTATGCGTGCCCTTCGCGGATTCGAGTATTTCGTAGCACTCCTCGTGCTTGGTGTTGTAATATGTTTCTGTTTCGAACTCAGCAAGATCCACGCCTCAATCGGTGAAGTCTTCGATGGTTTCGTTCCATCTTCTACTTTAGTCAAGTCGCAAGCGTGAGTACTACACATCGTTCTATGGGGTACACTTACTAAGTAGGTGCAGTTTATACCAAGCCTGTGGCGTTTTGGGCGCCACAGTCATGCCTCACAGCCTCTACCTTGGTAGCGGCATTGTTCAGCCACGCCTGCGGGAGTACGATGACCAAAATAACTCCACCTCTTTTCGCGACGCCGACGAGAATTCTCTCTCAGACGAGCTGAAGTACAGGCCTTCCCTTGCAGCTATCAAGCACTGCATGTCCTACAGTATCGCAGAGCTTGCCATATCTCTCTTCACCTTTGCTCTTTTCGTCAACTCAGCCATTCTCATTGTGTCTGGCGCTTCGCTGTACGGTCAGTCCGAAGCGACAGACGCCGATTTGTTCTCCATCCACAAACTGTTGTCCCGGTCGATCGCGCCAGTTGCCGGTACTATCTTCGCGCTGGCATTGCTTCTTTCTGGTACCTCGGCTGGAATCGTGTGCACCATTGCTGGACAGATGGTCTCGGAAGGCCAGTTGAATTGGACGATGAAACCATGGCTTCGTCGCCTCATAACACGATCCATCAGCATCACGCCCTCGATCATCATCGCCGGCTCTGTCGGACAAGATGGGCTAAGCAAGGCCTTGAATGGCAGCCAGTTCGCACTGAGTGTGATTCTCCCTTTTGTCAGTGCACCGCTTATTTGGTTCACTTGCCGAGCGCAGTATATGAAAGTCGCTGTAAGACCCAACGACAATGGGGAGAGAGACACGGATGTTACAGCAGATGGTTATGTGCAAATGCGAAATCACTGGGTCACTGCAGCGTTCGCAGTCGTCATTTGGGGAGTTATTGTTCTCATGAACATTGCTGCTTTGGTATTTGCGGGTATGGGAGTCGCTTGAGCATCTTCCGCTCGTGCTTAATCTCCTATTTGGTGTGAATAGGCTTGATTGTGCGTATCGTATCACAGTGTGAGTCGGCTGGGGCGTGGCAATAGTGAATCGGAAATTGGATCTTGGTACGGCTCAGTCCCTGGTCCATGGAGGTGCTTCCGATCCCCTGGCCGAGCGTCATCCAATCTTGTATTTCGTTGATCTCATTCATCTCGACGATACCTAAGCGCTACCTAATCTATTCTATCACCGATCGCCTTCGTGAAGGCTCTGGTTGGAGACGAAAACGTCGCCTGGATGAGCTAGGAGTTGGAGCACGCTCGGGAAGAGAAACTGCGAAGGCGATCGGTGATAGAATAGATCAGATAGTGCTTAGGTATCGTCGAGATGAATGAGATTAGCAAAGTCAGGGTTTGGGGTTATTTGCGTCCAGCACAAGAATTGCGCCGACAGCGCTGGCTAACGAATGTCGAGCCATTGAACGTCTTTACTCTGGCATGTTACTGGCGACGCTCGGTCCGCAGAAATACGATTCAACCATGCTCCAATGTTTACCCAGACGCAACTCTTACAAAGTTTGCAAACGACTTGATAGAACACTCCCATGCATATCAGGTACATGCGAGGCCAGACAATAGAAGTTTTATTTTTCGTACATACGCAGACACGCAAATTGTAAGTTATACATTAATTGATGTAAGGTATCCTTCGCGATTGTGTCGCCGAGCTAGCCATCTATTGTGTTGGGTATTGGGTACGCTTTCAGTCGTCCCCTACACGATACTGGTATTAGGCATTTCCAAGGCCTGTTGATCACCGAGCTCCGATCTGCACCCTACCAATCCGCTGATCGTCGTTGTTCATTCCCCATGGAAGAATTTGTTCAGGCCGACCCGTGCTTTATTGTTCAATAAGCGCAAGGCCACTATTGCGGATCCATGGCCATATTTCGGCTGGAAGTTCAATGGCGAACAAGCTAGGGAGACTCGTTGACACGCCTGACGCCATGCAATCTGAGGTATATGCGCTGACACTTCCCTCATCAGCCTGCAGCTTCCTTGACTTTGTGGCCAGTTGTGGGCGCTTCGTCGATGAACTGGGGTGGTGCAGCATCGTCCAGCATATAGCTCGGCATGCTTGACGACTCTCCGATCCCCTCAAAGTCGACCTCATCACCCAGTGCCTCTAGCTCAGCATCCAACTCCGACTCGTCCACGTCCTCCGGCACATCGTAGCTGCGGCTTATGGCATCTTGTATATCATTTCCCATATCCATAAGATCCGCCATCTCGTCCTGAAGCTTATCGATTTTATCGATGTTGACCTTGCCGTACTGCTTCCGTAGCTCTTTGGTTGTCGTCTTCATGGCGTCGATGGTAGTCATTGTGTTCTTGAGGTTATCCTGCATCATTCCGGCCTGCTCCATATTCCACGACTGCGCCTGCAGCTGATCGCGCTGCGCTTCGTATTGTTTCCGTTGCTGGAGGACTTTGAGGGCCTTTTGTTTGATGGCTGTTTTGCCGGGTCCGTCGCGCATCTTGGCGAGCTTCTGCTGGTAGGTGGAGAGTTCGGCATTAAGCTTCGCCAGCTTGACGTCGATGCTTTCTATGCGTGTGTCGACCTGGGTCTATTAGTGTGCGGAGGGTGCTGCCTAGTATGTGTAGCGTACATTGGAGATGGCGCTGTTGAGTGTCGGTTTGGGCGCGCTGCTCTTGGCTCCGAATAGGCGGTTCATGTTGGCGGGGAGGGGATGTTCGGCGGTCCACTGAAGGGCTCGTGGTGTGTAGTCAATGTAGCAGAGTGGGCGTGGAGTGTGCTGGCGGGTGTGGGGTGAATGGCAGGCACCAAACGATGGTCGTAGCTCCGGCAGTTCCCGCCAACGTCATTGATCGTCACGTGCTCGCAGTAGATCTCTCAACCCTGAAGATCCAAAGATGGTTGCCACACGCGCTATACGAAGAAGCACATTGAATGTTTATCGTGACATCGGGAAGGCGCTCGCTTATCGAAAGCTAGTATGATAAGAGAAAGAAAAAGCATAGTGTACATGTAGAGCGCAAAGTACTTGAACAGTATTTCAAGGTTATATAATGCACGACGGAAAAAAGAGCGTCTTGTAGACGGATGCCGGCATGCGATGCGACGCAGGATTCAACAAGTCATGACACAGCCGATGCATGGTATACATGGTAGCACGGATTCAGGTAAACGGCCGTCCAGTTTGGCGATGCAATAGTGGCGCAAAACAGGCGGGCGAGCCAGCGACCAAGGCAACGAGCATGAGGTGCTAGTATGCTGCCGTCTGCCGTGGTCGATATCAGGGAGGTGCAAGTGATCTGCGGCGCACGCTACCCGTACTACGCAGCTTCTAGCCTTGAGCTGTCACCACCAAACCCAACAATACCCACAACACTACTGCCTTGAGGAAATACACACGTTTCCCGCATCTGTGTCTGTAACGACGCTTCACCAACAGTCGGTGCATGGGTCGATTGGAGTCTCGCGCGCTTTTCGCTTGCCATTGCCTTCGTTCCCCGCGGCCTGGTGTTCGCTAGTATGTACCTCTGTCCCACGCATGCAACCCAGCCCAAGCCACGAACACGCGCCCTCTGTCTCACTCGAGCCTCTCTCGCTCTCTCTCTCTGCTAACAAAGCCCGCCGCTGACCATCCCAGCAGCTTTTGCACTGCCATTCCCCTTTGTCTATGACGCATTGGTCGCTGCAGTAAATCTACGCATGTGCCCCACGCAGCTGCAACAGCTCTCGAGTGCCTCGCCCGACCCTTCCCCTGCCCCGCCCTTGTAGCCGCAAACCACCGCAACCACCATGTTCTGGCGCTTCGGCGGGTACGCGCAGCTGTCGTCGCTCGACAGCATCCTCGACAAGCCCGACGTTACTGTCGAGGAGCTGCTGGACGAGTCGGATCTCATACAGGAGCTCAAGCAGCAGAACTCGAAGCTGATAGAATACCTTCGCGATGAGAATGTCTTGGAGCGCCTGCTGCGCTACGTTATCGCCGCAAGGCCCAAGGAACCAGACGATGACACCTCCAATGAGCCTGCGCACGAGGCCCGGAGTCCCAGCCGGACGGGCTTTTTCGGCAAAGTCAGGGCACGCTCGACATCCACCACAAAGTCCGATGCGGGCGATAGCGAAGAAAGCAAGGAGGAGCGACAGCGCATGAAGTATGCCTATGTGTCGTGCGAGATCCTGTCCTCCGAAGTATGGTCCATATCCGAGGCTGTCCTCGAGAACCAGGACACTTTGCGACAGTTCTGGGCCTACATCAAGCAGCCTGCGCCCCTCGATCCTGTGCAAGCTGGCTACTTCACAAAGGTCAACGAGTCGCTGCTCGACCGCAAGATGGAGGAGATGCTCGAATTCTTCAAGTCGCTGGACAACGTTGTGACAGACATGTTGCAGCATGTCGACTGCCCTGTCATCATGGACCTGTTGCTGAAGATCATCAGCCTAGAGAAGAGTGAAGGCGGACAAGGCATTGTTGACGTAAGCCATCCCACCCACTTGTCCTCGCAGGCAGAGCTAACAATACTGCAGTGGTTACAACAGCAGAACCTCATACCCCGTCTGATCTCGTTCCTCGCCCCCGAACAATCTACTTCTACACAAACATCCGCTGGTGACTTCCTCAAGGCCATCATTACCATATCCGCAAACGCTACCACACAAGATCAATCCGTCATCGGGCCCAACGAGCTTACCCGCCAATTGGTGTCCGAGCAATGTCTGAAGCAATTGATAGACTTCATGCTACAAGGTGGCAACCCACTGACAGTCGGTGTGGGCATCATTATCGAGGTCATTAGAAAGAACAACTCTGACTACGACCTGGAGAATCAAATCGGGCCTGTACCCAAGAATTCAGACCCCATCTATCTAGGAACGCTGCTTCGTCAGTTCGCGAACCACATCCCACAGTTCATGGAGTTGGTTAATAGTTCGAGCCAGATCGTGACACAGCGCGATGGTAGCACTACCAAGAAGAAGCGAGAGCTCAAAACGGCCTTTGGCGAGAAGATCGAGCCACTCGGCTTTGATCGTTTCAAGACCTGCGAGTTGATGGCCGAGTTACTACATTGCAGTAACATGGCGCTACTCAACGAACGGGGAAGCGAGGCCGAAGTTAGAAGACGCGACGCTGAGCGGGAACGTCTGAAAGCAGACGGTAAATTAACTTCGGCAAACGCTGGCACCATGGGCGACTTCTCTACCAGCGTGGACAGCCAGGGCTTCCATCATGCGCGCGCACCATCCGTGGACTCCCCTGCCGAAATAAAACCCCTGCATGTACAAAACAGCTCGGAAGACGACTTTGAAAAAGTCGTCGCGCCCGAGGTTGCTCCCGAGGACTCCAGAGACACTGCGACCGAGAAGGAGCAAATTGGAGAGCCACTGGAGCCCTCACCAAAGGTTGCACCAAGAGACGCGCCAAAAGATTCGTCCGCTACCAAGACCGCGGACGATGACGGCGAGTTTGTTGATGAGCCTCTGACGCCGCCCAAGGACAGTGCAGCACCTGCTGAGTCTGCCCCGTCGCCGCCCAAGCCCGCGGACGATGCTGAGTCGCCTACATCAGCAGGACTGACTGCCAAGGTTGATGAGCTTGAATTGGACACGGATACCGTCATGAATGACCGCCAGGAACCGACTGAGACCGAACAGGCCGACAAGTCCGAGACTGAACCCAAACCCGATGTCAAGACCCCGCCATCTCTCCTAACCCAGCAGCTCAGCCAAACCTCAGACTCAAACGTCGATCAATCTGCGAGTCTTTCACCTCATCCAGATGACAAGCCAGCCCCATTATTTGCGGGTAAGAACCGCGAAAGCAAAGCTGAAACAGCCAGCATCGACACTTCGCGCTTCACAGCACCAGTAGCGGGATCAGATCTGTCCGAGATCACTCCTATCGACGAGACTCAGAGCGTACGTTCCGTTGTATTTGGTAGTGCAGAGGAGACTGTAGGCTTTGAAATCGACATTGACGGCACGCCCGTTGTTGGCGATTTGTTGAAGATTACATTCGTTGAGAACAAGGTTGTGCCAACGATACTAGTAAGCACCACTTTTTCCCCATCGTGAACCATTTTTCCTAAGTGTTACAGGACTTCTTCTTTCGCTTCCCATGGAACAACTTCCTGCACAATGTAGTGTATGATGTTGTTCAGCAAGTCTTCAACGGGCAGATGGACCGTGGATACAACCGACAACTAGCGATCGATCTCTTCGACAACGGAGGCATTACCGAGCGCATCATTCAAGGGCAGCAGGAGAGCGACAAGTCGCATAAGGAAACATCCATGCGACTGGGATACATGGGTCATCTTACGCTGATCGCGGAGGAGGTGTTGAAGTTTACAGAACGGCACACCGACGAAGTGTTATCACAAATGGTCCTGGAGAAGGTTCACGCTCAAGAATGGGTATACTACGTGGAACACATTCTAGCTGAGACACGAGAACGCGACAACGCCATTCTCGGAGGCGTACGACCCGATATGAGTGTTGGGCCCCGACAGGCCGTACTCAATGCCGTCAACGCTGCGAATAACAACTTTGGAGGCGACAGTGGCGGGCTCTCCAATGCAAGCCTTGCCAACAACGGCAACATAGGCCTCGACAGCATGGAGCTCACCAATGCTGGTGACACTGAGGGTGGTGGGTACACCTTCAGCGGAGGCTCCTTGCTTAGTGGCTTTACTAACTCGAGTGACGAAGAAGACGAAGACATGGACGATGTCGATACCGAGAGAGAGCGGGAACAACGGCAGGGACCTGTCGACGACTCCGAACAAGTGGGTGAAATCTCATTTGACGATGCTGATATGGACTATCGATAATGTCCGAGCGCCCCGACCATAACACACATTATACCACGATCGTTTCTCCCGCCTTTGGTGCGTTTCCTTTTCTTATACTTTGTCTGTATCATGAGCTGGAGCGGACAGACGGCCCGCATACTAGATCTATGGGGCCAGCCATCATCCCTTGTGTACATACATTCCTTGCGCCATCCGACAGGGTGTATGATACATGTAGTAATACGCATCGTGAGATGTGATTCTTATTCTCATCTCCTTTGTGTGACGTACCAACTTGGATGATTGGTCTCCCGTATGATCTGGTACGCTGTCCTCTTCTTTCTCCCCGCTTCTCCGTCTATTTGTGTTTCCTCCTGTATCGTACTGTCCATGTAGTCTTGTCTTTTGTTTGCGTTCCATCGCCACCGAACGAAGCCACACCGATATGTGTTCTCTGCTGACACTGCTTGCTCTTTCAGCCCACTGCTCCCCCGCCGCTTCAAATCCCTCCCTCGCGGGCCCGTCGCCAATTTGCTCTCCGACTCGCGCAACGCAAAGCCCAACTCGAATCGACGCGCGAAGCAGAGGAGGACCCCGACGACCCTTCAGCTCCCGGGAAAACTCAGGAACAAGAGGAGCGTGAGGGGCATCAGCGCTTCGCACGCATGTTTGAAGGCATCGAGGACTCGTCCGATGACGACAGTCTGCATAGTATCGAGGGCGTGGGTGACGACGAGGAAAACATACTAGGCCGCATTGAAGTTGAGGGGCAGGAGGTGGGGAGAAGGAGTCCGGTGAAAGTTGCCAGTCCCGAGAAGGTGGGTAGCCCGGAATTGGAGAGGAGGGGAAGCGGCGACGATGGTAAGGAAAACGGAAGCAGAGTCGTGGCTTAGCTTGTTTGTTATTCATTCGATGGGGTTGGTTTGGCGCGGCACAGATGGTTCTGTGCTGTTAGCAGGTTGGTGCACACTGATTGTTGAATCGGCGTGCGGCATCCATGTGAGGCTTTTGCGATGAAATGGTACGATGTATGTAGTAATGCATGGTTATGAGATACCCCCTCCGATTCTGTACTCCTGTATATCATATTTTGCATCTGACTGCGTGGCTCGTTGTCGATAGCCGGGGGTTATCGCTACTAAGGGTTGCAGACACGAATAACCACAGCGACACAGGCATGGTTGCGAAGACAGCAGACCCTGTCTCGGAAGTTTCACACTTCCATTCCCCAAACTTCAATCCTTCGGGTCGTGTTTGCCTATTGTGCATACCCTAAATGTATGCGGAATAACATATAATATTACTCACGTGATCCGGCGATACGCCAATCCAGCAAGCGCGTCTCGCGTCAGACCTCCCGCCAGCCCTACCACCAACATCCAACCTGATCACCAATCGATAACCACCACAACAAACTCACCATGTCCGCCCAGCCCGCTCCCTCCCGCCCAGCGCCCGACCACCGCCGCTCTTCCACAGCGCCAAAACGTACATCCCTCCTACCCAAACCCTCATCAATCTTCCTCGACTCCACCGTCCTCATCGCGCAACACGCGCAAATCACCGGCACGCATCCCGTGACCATTGGCCCAAATACCGTGTTACACCCACATAGTAAGCTCAGCAGCGCCGTGGCGCCGGTCGTGCTGGGTGAGGGATGTGTGGTGTTTGAGCGGGCCAAAGTGGGTGTGGGTATGGGTGAGGAGGAGGGCAAGAGGGGGAGTATGGCACCGCCTGCGCGAAGTAGTGCGCATATGCGGGTTGAGTCGATGCGTAGTGAAGGGACGGTTTTGGGGAGAAATGTGGTTGTGGATAGTGGGGCTGTCGTTGAGGCTGCCGAGGTGGGTGAGGGGAGTGTGATTGAGGTTGGTGCTGTGGTGGGGAGGGGGACTATAATTGGAAAGGTATGTTTATACATGTTCTATTTTGCTTTTGGAAAAGTGTGAGAGGTGGTGTGGGGAACTAAGTATCACTAGTTCTGCACCGTTTCGGCTTCTTCGGTCATTCCTCCGTATACACGCTTGCCGGATTACACTGTCGTGTTTGGGGGGAACCAACGTCGTGTTGATAAGACGCTACAGTTACGGCCTGAGATACTGGATGTGAAGATGGCGGTTCATGCAAAGCAATTGGACATGTTCAGGAAACTCATTCCGAATAATATCCAGAAGTGGGTGTGAGAGGGAATGATCGTCCAGAGTGAATGCCAGATGCTGGTAGCGGGTATGGGATCGAGTCGAACAGAGATCAGGCACACCGCAAAAGGAGGTTTATACTCTGTGGTTTTACCCTGGTCTTGCTACACAAAGTTTGCAATGACGAGTCTGTTATGACATACAGATTGTACCAAGTCGTGAGATTGGGTGAACGTCTCTGAAGAGTGAAGAGGTGGAACATTCACGAGTCGAAAAGGTGGAAAAGTCGAACATCAGGTAGCCATGTTGTTGTTGCGCAACAATGATGGCCGGCCTTGACGAGACTTTCGTCCGGATGGCTGTCACGCATGTCAACGCTAAGAAGAGGAGAGCTGGCTAGAACGTGAACGCACATATTCGCGTACCTGGTTTGGATGGTAATGCCTAGCCTGCGGGTGAGTGAAAGCTGTTACTGCACTCTCTTACCCAACAGTTGAGACACGAAGTCTGTGTACTATGCGCTTTCTTGCAGTTATAAAGATCTCTAAGCTACGTAATTACAGAGAGCATATCATCCACTACAAGATCCGATTCTCACTACACCCACAACCGGTCTGAACTCTATCAACATCGTCAGCAACCATGCCTGTCTTCCCCAACAAAGTAACCTTCTTCGCCGAGGGCGTCGAGTCCTGTTTCGAACTCGATGAACAGCACGACTGTCCCATCTGCATGGAACACCTTGACGAAACTTCACCAGAGCTTAATCTATCTGCCAACGTCTGTACATCATACAGCTATACCAGCGTGATGAGCGTACCCCGTGGACAGCGTAGCGTCGTTGTCAACGTTACTACCACAATAAGCGAGGCTGCCCTTCAAGCCGAACAACACGACGACCACACCCCCATCAAGATGATCTGTTGCTGTAACAACATCTTTGGTCGCCATTGCTTAGAGGTTTGGCTGAACGATAGAAATAGCTGTCCGACTTGTCGCGCAGAACTCTTTCCTATGAACGCAACGATGCATATGCTCAATAGGGTTCAAAAGGCTTTCACGACCGCTGTTCTTAGTACGCATCGTCAGTATATGGATCAGGTGGTGCATCAGGACATCTCCGAGCATGATGAGGATGAGTCGCTTCGGCTTGAGCTTGAAGAAGTTTGTCGGCCGCTTCGATCTGACCTTGAACACTTACGTCGGCTTCACCCAGATGTCTTTCTGCCGGACGCTGAAGATCTGAATCAGAATGAAGACGAAGGATTGAGGAGGTTTGAAGTCGAAGATCAATTTGAGGGCATGTCGAATCTGTTTCAGCCTGAAGATGCACGTTCGAGTGGACCTGAGGTTGAAGACCTATTTGAGGACATATGGACTGACTAGTTATGGTCTGCTCTGAGCCGAGAGGCTGATGATGCTTCAAATTAGTCATTCTGATTCATCAAGCTGTCATACTTTTCAGAGGAAGGTAACTGAGGTCGGGTAGTTCTGAGGCGCACTGTGAGTGGAACAGGTCTGTTGAGGGTAGAAATAGGGATCTCGATGACTCTTAAGAGTCACGTCTTATGGGCAGCATATCTGAATTGAGTACAGTTTTCTTTCGTTTTGTTCATTCCTCTTGTACTTGATGCGTAACTACGAGTATAAACGTCCCCTGATAGGCTTTTTTACACCATCCAGCGAAGTGCCGAAGCTTAAATGCCCCACCGCCCGGCGGCTTTCTGGTGCATTTCGCCGGTCCACATGAGCATCGTACCAAGCTTGAGGCATCTTCACTACACCCCATGAGAGAACACTTCTAGACACGGCTAGCAAACCGCCATGTCCTTCATCGGCCATCGACACGGGCTCATAGCCTTCTCCTTCCCCACCCTTTTGCTCATTAAGAGGAGCTTTGGACAATGGTGAGACATGGCAAGCAGCTGCTATGGCCTGCGAGTCTGATCCAACGGGTGGCATGTGCCCGGGCATTCGCAATAAACCCAGAAGCCAGGGGATCTGAATGGCGGCCGTGGCTAGGGCTAGCAGTCCGGCCAAGTATGTTGGAGATAAACCCCAGGCGACATACAAGTCATATGGAAGGGTTCGGTAGTCATTCCAACCGCCCAGTCCTGGAGTCGCGTCGTCTGATATTTGATGTTAGTGCCTTTGTGTTGAACCTATATTGCATCTTTGTCTAGGTACATACCATCTGTAAAGAGGACCACGAACGAGCTCTCGGAAAGTAAGAAATGCAGAACCGCACTGAGGATGATAAGAAGGACACTGTATTTATACGGAAGCTGAAGCCTATAGGTTCCAACCTGTTGGCCTCTAATCAGAGCTTTCGTTAGCATACTGTTGTGCACCTTTTCTTGCCATCATGAATGGCCTCATGCAGACTCACACGAGTCAGAAGGAAGACTGGGGAAATACCTGGGCTGAGAGACACGAAGAGGCCGGAATGACGTGGAGTACAGAGCCCATTCCTGGCTAAGTTGTAACCGAGTCAAGATAGCATTGTACGCAAAATACCAGACTGAGAGTAATAGTTGCGGAATATTGGCCAGGAGCACCGCGGTAATGAAGGGGACGGAGGATTTCGGTGGCATGATCGTGAGAGGAGAGTTAGAATCGCGAAGGACTTGCTGATCCCTATTGTATGGCTTAGCTTAAGCGTGCGATAACCTGGGGTAGGAACTTACATCTCGTCATTCTTAATCATTTGATATTCCTTCCCTAGAACGCCAGCAGCGGCGAGGATGCAGGCAACGAAAAAGGCGTATGTGTATGTCCACGTCCAGCGCGAAATGCAGGATGATCGTCTTAAAGGAGTATACCGCCACAGTATCGGGCTACCACTATCAGCCTTATGCTTCGGATGTTTTACAAGCAATTCCAGTCTGTCGGCGGTATACGTGTCTGGGACGGATATGAACGACGCCACTGCGTCTCCAGGCGTGACTAAGGACTCCTGGGGACCTATGACCCACACTATCATAACGCAGATGATTACTTTCACCAGACAAGCTAGCGTGACGGTCAGGAGAAGTGGGTTCGAGACGCCCACATAACAGTTGCCACTATCTTGCGCATGGGAGCCCATAGAATCGGCCGATTGCAGTATGGCACTATTAAAGAGCAAATGCAGAGGCAGTGACGTGACCAAGAGTGCGACCCAAGCGACCGTCTTGAAGGGAGACAAACCCAGTGCGTTTCGCCATGATAAGACTCCAACGTCGAGAGATCTTCCCCGCGCGTGCGAAGCATCCACTTCTCCACGTGATGGCGAGCTCAGTACCTGCGAGAAGAAATTGGACGACGCCAGGACCGCGCTGGACACGGCGTTGACGATTAGGTGGAGAACTGTGTTGATATTCCGCGCCGTAGGTTCGCGGCAGAGCGAGGAATGGAATAGAAACGTGTTGCGCACCGCATCTCCTCGAGTGGCTTCGCCGTAATTGTAACCCTCGTTGGCTATTTCTGATAGGTTTGTCTTGAGAATCGAAGCAACGGTGAAACCGCATAGTAATAGCGTCAAAATAACCATAGCACTGATGTTCAAGATGGCTAATCTCCTCCACCCGCTTAGCTTGTTATGGAGCTTCGGAAAGCAACCGCCGAACCTTGCCATGATTGTACGCTAGATGTTAATGAATGTGCAAGAACCGACAACGAGTGAGAACATGGATGAAGGGAGCTGAGATATTTAAAGACCAGGCCGCTGGACTTGAACACTCAAATACCTGGCTTCGCCGCTTTTTGGGGCTATGTAAAGTAAGCGTGGGGGCCTGATCAGCGCGTAAGGCGCTGCGGGTCGAGTGCAGATCGTCCACGGAGCGCCGCATTCTAGAGAGACTCCACGAGGCAGGTAAATTTATATGGGTGACGGTAAATATGCAATCCCATACAAACTTATGATTGAAAGCTAAATCGAAAATAATAATGTCAATTTCGATGAGGACTGTTATCCCTGATGATAAACGTTTCTCCCAGAAGAACTGTGCAAGCGATTACCATGGAAAAAGCAATGATTGGAACGTTCACCCGCCAGAACTCCCGTATACTTACTCTGATTTTCTCTTTCCACAACACACTCCGCCACGTGATACCGGTTAGCGATGCACTCATCAATATGCCGAATGCGCCGAAATTTACACCAAGAGAGAGACTATAGACTGACCCCCAGAACATTCTTTCGCTTATCGGTGTCTCGCTTCTTTCATGTGTCTCTTGCCATGCTTGTATAATGCGCGATAGTAGCATGCATGCGCCGATATTCGTTCCCGCAAACTACGTTGGCTTAGCTAACCCATTCACATCTATGAGCTGGCAACACTTACGCTAGATAGCACCATGCCCAAGAGGCCCATCCCTGCAATGCATCCGACAGGTCCAGACTTGGTAGCCCAGAGGTCCCACCAGTGAGCAAACACACGAACCCAACCTTTGCTGATGAGAGCTTCTACAAGGATGAACATGCAGAACGCGAAGGGGACGAGATCGTATGGAAGCTGACGTAGACAGACCGTCGTTGTGGGGAAGGTCTCTTGACACCACACGTACCGGTTTTCTAGGCACTTGAATAGCGTAACATGATCATCTCTATGTCGAAGCTCAGATGTCGGGTGTGAGGTTTCTGCAATGCCTAAATTTGTGAGTGCCCGCTGCACGCCAATCATGGGTATTTGCTGCTGCTGCTGCTGCTGCTGAGTCGTTATTTTTCCTGATGGAGGCTCTTCGGTACATGTTTCGTGGGAGGTTTCAGCCTCCCTTCTCGCATCGACATTCCCTGAGGCCAACCTTCCTAGAGAAATGTTTTCCTGGTGCGAACGCTGATCTGTGTCCGATATGCTGTGATCATTATGAGTTAGGACTATATTCTTGATTGTTGAGACTATTCCATCGACGTTGGGACTCTTAGGGTGACCCCTTCCCTGTCGAGCGATAGCACGTGTTGCTGCCCTGTTCGTCCAGCCCATGGTAAGATCCCAACAGAGCATGGTGACAGCAGCTGGCAGAGTGACCCAGAAGTCAGTATTGCCACCTTGCGAAAGATATACAGCGTTCAAGGCCAAAAGCAGGATGATCGTTGCGATGAAGATGATGGATCCAAAAAGGGAACTTTTTCTGTCGAGGAAAGGATTCAGAATGTGCTCCAGTTCTGCGTCTTCGTTTTCGGACCGGAGACTTTCGCCGTCAGCAGGCCTTTTGCGTACAGTTGGGATGTTGGGATTCGCTGGCTTTTTGTTCTTTGCTTCCTCGGGTAGGTCTCGAGCCTTCATCGTTTGTGGGATGAGATCTGGATGAGGAAATACAATATAGAGTAAGAAGGGAAAGAGCAGAACTGTTGTGGCAACGACTGGCACAACCATATTCGCTGCAAAACTAACAAAACGTATCTTGAACGCGTTTGCGAGCACGAGGTTAGTAGGATTTGATGATACCAAGATCCCGGTTGCGATGTTGGCGATGCAAAATTGCGTTTGTATCCAGGCTCGTGGATGCTTGATGTTTGCAACAACCCGAACGAAGTAGGAGAGAAACAAGACCATGATGGGATCGTTTCCAAGAAAGGCTCCTATGCCAAAGAAGCAGATGTAGAGGTAGAGGTACAAGCGGTGACCCACTTTTCCGAGTCTAACGGCTCTGATTACCACAGACCGGACTAAGCCGGCTGCTCCAAGTGAATTGGCAATATAGCCTAGACTAAGGAAGACGATGACTAGGTCGTATGGGCAGATACCGGTATCATCATCGCCTATGATACCCAGCATGAGTTCGTGCTTGCCGATGACTGTAGCAGCCAGCAGAAATAGTACTGCGGCGAGAGGCGCTGTAACATAGTTGATCGGTACTGTGTATCTGATGAATCTCGGCCGGTTAGCTGCGCCATCTTCTCTTTTCCATGACACTATGCGCAAGACGCTAAGGATGTAGAACAGAGCTTCCGCAACCAAATGAGGGATATAGACTGGCAGGCGAAATGGGTGTAGTATCGGCAGATCTATGAAGGTCAGACCGGTCATCTTCAATAACATCAGGCAGCTACCCATCACTCACTAATCAAGATAAAGATGATAATCGTAAGAATCGGCCGCCAACTTTTGACAGCTTCAGCGCCGGAATCATTGTCCATGCTGCAAGAGAGAACATGGGACTATCGAATTGCAGTGCGGACAGACTTCTGTTCTTACTTAAATGTTCAGAGTTGAGGCGCAGCCGTTCCACCAACCAATGATTGTTACCCAACGAACCCAGCGAACTTCAGGCCTCCAGCAGATTCGAAGGCACATCTTCAATCTCGCAGCTGCACCAAAATGCACTAATAAAGGCTGTGTGTCGCACACGTTGCGGTGAACAATCACGTGCGCTGACCGGTGTTGACCTTGCGCATTAATTCCAGCCTTGCTGCTAAGAGTTTCTCAGCTGCCCGAACAAGTTAACTCCACCGAAACGCATCGCCCGGTAAAAAGAAATTTGCATCTTCGAATGTAATAACGCGGTCCATATCCAAAAAACCAGAGTCCATGAAGGCGTCGGACAGATTAAGGAGAGATTGATCTTGCACACTCTGGTGATTCGCCGTCGTACCAGCCGCGCCGTATGGAGCAAGAGACGGATCAGATCCTGGCACGGGCGTGCCGCCTGGCGCATAATGTGATGGAGTATGACTACGGTAACTAGCCTGCACTTGCGGTGACTGATATATGGGAGGTGGTGCGGTGGGTGATATAGCATGGGCTGTTGGTAGACGTGGGTGGTGTTGCTCGTATGCACTTGGAGATGGCAGGGCTGCGTTTCTGTTCATGTCTGGTGGTATACGTCTGGGACTAAGAGTCGACTGGGAACTGTTGAAGCTATTGTTGCGACCATGATTCCTCAGCAGCGAACGTTCGTGTGCAAGACTTCTAGAGCGGGCTTGTGGGGTAGCGGCATATGTCGGACTAGCGTGGTTCTGTGGGTCGAGAGTGAGTCCATTGTGGTCGTAAAAGTCGAATCGGAAATTGGCGTCGTTTTGGCAGGCTTCTAGTAAGCGCTTGAGGTGCTTTGCGTATGTTCCAGCTTGGTTTTCCGGTTTTGCATCATCTGTGTCCCGCCCCCTCCATCTTGCTGACATCTCCTCGAGATTGCGGATCAGGCGGTGAAATTCGGACCGTAAAGGCTTACGAGCGGCCTGGTGTTCGAAGAGCAACGCTTTGGCGGCAATGACCGCACAGAACGAGAACTGTACGTTCACAAACGGTATAGGTGTATGGGTAAGGAACTTGTCGACGATGTTTGAAGACTCCACAGCGGCAAGCTCGCAAGTCTGAACGCTACATTCTTTCGGCAATGCGACGAAGTCGTTCCATCCACGGGGTGGGTATCCAATTGGATGATGCAGCAGAATCATGGACGTGTTATGCGTAATATGTGCTAGTGTAAGGTTTGGATCCATGTCGACCACAGTCCTATCTGACGAGATGTTCGAGTCCTTCCATCTGGGTGGTAAGAAGATTTTCCATTGTACAAGCCTAAGATCTAGCTCTTTGAAGCGCGTCAACCAACTGACCGCATGCTCCTTGTCTTGCCAGTTGATCCGTTGTTGAAGGAAGAACGTAGTCACCTGACTTAGACTTTCGGTTGCTTCGACGCAATATGCGAATGCGCCGAGCTTGGAAGCGTCGATGTAGCCATTCGCAGAATTGGGACTAGCCCCTTGAGGCAAGTGATCGATTGCTGGGTCCTCGTCGTTGTATTGCGCAGGTACGTTTGCTAATGAGCGCCCGATACGAGCTGCCGCCTTGTTCCAGATACCGAAGTATGGCGTGGTCACTGGTTCCTCTCTTGTAAAGAATCCACCATCGGCTGGCAAGCGACGGTGCACGTCGTCCGCGGTGAGGCTCGTATTCCATCCAGTAGATACCGAACAGAATCTATCCAGTAGGAAGATAATCCAAAACAGTCTTCTCCTTTCCTCCAATTCTGTCCAATCATTGGAGGGTTTTACTAGTCGCACCGGCGTCATCAGCGACCCTGACTGCGATGTCGACGGCTCGGTAGTAAGTTGAAGGTAGTCGATAGTCCTCGTGAGGGATCCAATTAAGGGCCATGCCCTTTGCGTTTGTCCGTCGTTGAGAAGATCAAAGACTAGGAAGATGAGGGCCTGTAGACTTTCGATGGTAACATTGCGCATTGCATGAGTTTCCACAATTATACGTGACACCCTGGTTTGTTGATCTATCTGGTCGTTGTCCAGATATGTTACGTTGGGATCCATGTGCCGTAAAGCAACCGCAACCAAAGCATGCAGGACTAGCACATGGCCTGGATCCTGACAACCTTGACGTACTCGTGTTTGGAGTCTTGCCTTATGGATGTACGGGATCCAATGATGAAATGAGATACAGAAGAAGTCTGCAATCTTTCCGAGAAGTGGTTGAGATGGGAGATATTGTGCAATATCAACGTCTTCAAAGGGCAGAAGCCAGCTCTCCGCAATTGGCATCTCATGTCTTCGTTTCAACGGGTTGATCGCACCGCTCTCTTCTTCAAGGCCTGTTGATCGATCCTCAGTGGATTGTTGAATGTGGTTGAATTTGGGAGTAGGCGCAACACATTGTGGTGGCTCTTCAACACGAGGCGCAGGGCTCTCTTTTACGGTATCAGGTCCTGCATGGGCGACTGTATGCCCATTGGTCGCAGCATCATCATCTCTGTACCGGGGCCGGATGTTTCCAGCGTCATCCAAAAGTATCCTCTCCAGAAAAGCTAACCTGCGTGAGATTGAGTTCATCGTAGAAGGAGTACTACCATACCGACGCGGCGGGTCAACGCCTCAACTGCTCCGGGTTTAAGGCCTGGCTTGTTCTTTGGCTGATAGACACATTCGGAAGCTATGGCGCATGTCAGCGACGCAAGATAGCGCCATTCAACAAGATCACTTACACAGCCTCAGGCAGTGCGAGCACGAGGGTGTCTCGCGCGAGCATCGCAGCTTGCGTTGCTTGCAGCTAACACACGCAGGAGTGTCACCCCCTACCGAGACGGGGCCATCATCCTCGCCTGCTTGGCTGCCATTGCCAACCGAGTAATTAGTCCACCCAGCCGACATCAGCACGACATCGCAAAAGCGCTGATCAGGAAGAAGCAAATGTGGATGATGCAGGAGCGGCGGGCATCGGGATAAATCAAGGTTTCTCCACACTCGGACCCCGCGAGGCTAACCCTTCTCTCGGCTGATCACTCCGCGGCGGGAGCCACCCAATTCCATCAACCCGTGACAGGCAAGGGATGGCGATGCACGACGTCCAGGTATATATCGGATGCGCTGCCAATTCAGGTGCGAAGCGAAAATGGCACGAAGATGACTTTGCCAGTCGAGCCGCTCAGAGCGTCGCTCAGAGCGGGACACGAACATGAACCCACTGGACTTGAGAGACTACAGAACGTGTAAAACTGCAAACACACAGCGACATTTCGTGTCTTTGCGCGTTAAAAGCCCTTGAAAGCGTGCTAGACACAATGCCTTCGTTGGAAGGGTTCTCGAACAACCCTTTCAAGACCCACGCCGACTTTAAGAAGGCAGCGATAGCTCTCCTCCGCGCATTGAAACCGTATCAATCGCCCCACGGTGCCCGAATCAAACTCCCGTTGGTGACCGGTACTCATTTCGACGATGTCGCAGCCCAGCTCGAAGGCTATGCGCGGCCACTATGGGCCGTCGGCACGCTCATGCACTCAAACATCGTCTCCGCAGACGAGTACAACGAGCTCATCAAACCCTACGCCACGGGTCTAGCCAACGGAACCGATCCAACCCATGCCGAATACTGGGGTCCAGTCGTACTGCGAGACCAAAGAATGGTCGAGATGGAAATCATTTCGTTCGCACTACTAGCAGCGCCAGACACCATGTTCCATTCGCAGACCGAAAAAGCGAAGAGAAACATCACGGCGTGGCTAGGGACCATCAATGGAAAGGACTTTCCTACCACGAATTGGCTCTGGTTCCGCGTCATGACTAACCTAGCGCTGATCAAAGTATGTGGCGCACCCAAGGATATCGCACTCGGTGCCATGAAGGCGGATCTGGATCTCATGGAGCAATTCTACCTAGGTGAGGGTTGGTCAGCCGATGGAATATGGAGTGATGAGGGACGGCAGGCGGACTACTATTCTGGAAGCTTTGCTATACAGTTTTCTCAGCTCATATATGTGAAGATGGCAAGTGACTTGGATCCTGAGCGATGCACAAGGTTTCGGGGCCGAGCAAAGGAGTTCGCCAAGTCGTTTTGGCGATATTTTGATACTAATGGTAAGCACATTATCGTTATCAAAGCTCTGACGCTACCTGACACAAAATAGGTGCTGCAATACCTTTTGGCCGAAGTCTGACATATCGATTCGCATTCGCTGGGTTCTGGTCAGCCGCGGCTTTTGCAGAGTTGGAACTACCAGTACCGCCAATAAGAGCATGGTGTGACGTCAAAGGTCTTCTCCTCCGGCACTTTCGATGGTGGAGCACTAAAGATGACATGTTTAACATGGACGGTACCTTGACAATCGGCTTTACCTACCCAAACATGTATATGAGCGAAGACTACAACAGCCCACAGTCTCCATATTGGGCTCTGAAGTCATTCCTGGCACTGGGATTGCCAGAAGACCATCCGTTCTGGACTTCGAAGGAGAGACGCTTGCCCTATGGTGGTCCGTGGAATATCATGCCGATCAAACCGCCAATGCATATCCTCTGCAGTCAGCCAAACCACCACTTCCTCCTCTCGGCGGGACAGTTCTGTCCCTGGCCCCTCAAAGCGACGGAAGCAAAATATGGAAAATATGCATACTCTTCGCACTTTGGCTTCAGCGTGCCTACTGGTTCGTTGATACAACAAATCGCACCAGACAGCACCCTCGCACTGAGTAAAGACGACGGCGAGACCTGGCGAGTACCGTGGAAAGTTACAAATCATGGCTTCGTTGATGTGTCTATAGAACGCAAGCTCACGTCCTGGTCGAGGAGAACATGCCTTACGAGTATATGGAAGCCTTGGGCCGATGCGGACATTTCTGTATCAACTCACATCATTCCACCTTGTGAACAATGGCCAGACTGGTACTTCCGCTGGCACCGCATTACCAACAACGGATCTAGTGCGGTAAAAATACACGCCGTGCAAGGCGGCTTTGCAATCCAAGGCCGCGGCCACCAGCACGGTGAAGTTTTGCCCACCCACGCGCACGTCTCTGACCTCTCTTCTTGCTCATCCACTCACAACGGCCAGCCTTTCCCCGAAGGCATGATAACGACTCAGGACTCTGCACTCATCTGTTCCAATGCGGGCGCTAGCGGTATCGCTATCCTTGGTTCTCGCATCCACGACGAAGGCCTGCTTGCGAACTCACAAGCCGAAATACTGAAACCAGACGCGAATACGAATCTAGTCTGGCAGCGTACTCTCATACCCGTCATCAAGAGCGAGCTGGTTGTCCCTCCAAGTACCGCAGGGAAACCATGTTATGAGTTTGGCAGTGCGGTTTTCGCGCTAGCTAGAACGGCGGATAGAGAGGAGCAGTACGCGAGACTGGATATCAGTAAGCTGTGGACAGAAGCACCGAATTTGAATATTGGAACGGAGAAGAATGACTACAAAGACAAAGAGTGGTATCTTCAATTCATGTAAATGTTTAATGTAGAGATGAATGTATACACCATAACCGGCTTCCTTACGCCTACACTGCCCACAACCGTTTTACCATTCCCGCCTACATGGATGGAAAGATACGATGCAACATGAAGCATCGACAACGTATTAGTAATGGTCAGAAATACTAAACCAAGCCCCTCGCTCAAGGAAAGCTATTTAATAAGTTTAAAGCAAAGTAAACACAAGTCACGTTGGTCATCGTAAGCGGATCGGAGCAACAATTGTGTTGAAAAGGTATTCATTTCGCTTTCATCTCAAGCCATTCCCTTTTAGTTCTCTCGTTCTTTTTGATTTACCGTCGCTGTCAATACAGCAAGCATGGAATACCAGCGCCCGTATCAAACGCCAGAGTACATCCGTAATCGTAAACATGACACTATCTACACATCTTTTGGCTTGACTATCCAAGCTCAACCTCGCATGCCGAGACGCATCTACTTGGCGTTCTCGGGCCTGAGGGAGCGAACAGCCTTTCCTGCCCTCCAGATCTCCAACTCGTCAATCTCCTTAAGCTCCGCGTCGTACTTCTGACGGTAGTCGGGCTGCGAGTTGTACTCCAAGCTACGCTTGGTCTCGCTACCGTCGGCAACAGCAGTGTAGAGGTCGTTGAAGACGGGCTTGAGGGCGGCCTTGAAGCGTGGGCTCCAGTCGAGGGCACCACGGCGGGCGGTAGTGGAGCAGGCGGCGTACATGTAGTCCATGCCGTTGGCGCCGATCAAGGGGTACAAAGACTGTGTAGCCTCCTCGACAGTCTCGTTGAAAGCCTCAGAGGGGCTGTGGCCGCGCTCACGGAGGACTTCGTATTGGGCGAGGAACATGCCGTGGATACCACCCATCAGGCAGCCACGCTCACCGTACAGGTCGGAGTAGACCTCCTTCTCGAAGGTAGTCTCGTACATGTATCCGGAACCGACGGCAACACCGAGGGCAACAGCCTTCTCCTTGGCCTTGCCGGTGACATCTTGGTAGACAGCGATGGATGAGTTGATACCACGGCCCTCACGGAAGAGGGTGCGGACAGTACGGCCGGAACCCTTGGGAGCGACGAGGATGACGTCAATATCGGTGGGGACTTCGACCTTGGTGAGGTCCTTGAAGACCGGGGAGAAGCCGTGGGAGAAGTAGAGAGTCTGTTGTCGTTAGCGTGCATACTTGTCAGGTCCGATGATTCCCGCTTACCTTGCCCTTGAGCTGGGGCTTAATGGCGGGCCAGGTCTCGGACTGAGCGGCGTCGGAGAGAAGGTTCATGACAATGGTCGACTTGGCAATGGCCTCGTCGATGTCGAACAGGTTCTTGCCGGGAACCCAGCCATCCGCCTCAGCCTCCTTCCATGAAGCACCGTTCTTCCGTACACCGACGATGACGTTGAGGCCATTGTCGCGCATGTTGAGACCCTGGCCGTGACCTTGGGAGCCGTAGCCAATCATGGCCATGGTGTCGTTCTTGAAGTACTCAAGGAGCTTCTCCTTTGGCCAGTCATCACGCTCTGTTCGGCATACGTCAGCTCTCATTCCAATGCAACAATGTCCTCAATTGACATCCAATGGAGCTCAGGACTTACCGTATACAGTCTCCTTGGTACCGGCGAAGTCAATGGTCTTGATACCACGAGTCTGCTGGAACTGGCTTGTAACAGCCGCGCGGGGAGCAGCCTTCTTGGCACCAGCATTCAGAGCAGACACGAAGGTGCGCTTCTGAGCGGGAGTAGCAGCCAATTGGCGGGCGGTTTGGCGCAGAGCGCGGGAAACAGGTCTTGAAGCCATTGTGAATGTGTGTGTGAAAGGGGGTATCTTGAGGAATTGGAATTGTCAAGCGGGGATGACAGCTTTTAAACTTGCTGGTGAGATCTTGACCACACCCAGAATTTCAAGCACGGGAGCTTGGACCATGCCGATTATCGCTGCCCCAGACCAGGCCGTTCGCGTGACTGGCCAATCACAGCATGGTGATTGAGTGCTAGCAGGGGGGCTGGAGGGTCTTCGGGGAGGCATGCGTGTCTCCGAGTGCGGTTCTGATGGTTGGAGGCAGCGCTGGATCCAGTCATACTGATGATGCGTGGCGGCCGATGACCTAGTGGTACTCACCGCAGTCCTAGCGGCGGGCTTGGTGCCTTTGACATGTATACAGCGAGCAGTGAGTGCAGTGTTTCGCAGTATGGTTTGCGTGTGGCCGTTGCCTCGATCCCGTGTTAAAAGACGGATACGGACTGGTCTGTCGGTGACGCCATAGTTTGGGCAATTACCACAGTCACATCAAGTACAACACACACATTGAGTCATTCTTTGTACGCAAATATGCATCTATATTGTGAGAGATCTTGGAAGACTATATTGCACCCCGTGTGATACGCCATGCACCTTCTACATGTTGCGCCAGACCCTGCATGCAGTCGCTAAGTTGTAGACATGCCCACCCCCCGATCCTCCCCCAAGCGTCAGTCCACATCCTGCGTCGAGCCCTTGGCTCGGTATCGTTCCGTCGTGATAGATCCGTCTTCCAACTGGCGCTTTGGGGTATTGCTGCGGAAGAGCTTTGTGTTGCTTTAGCCATTTACCATACTGCTCATTTGAGCACGCGATCAAAGCTCTGTCCCTTGACCGTTCCACCACCGAGCGATGCGCGCACATTGCGCTTGAAGCCCTCTCGGTTCTGCTTGAGATCCTCCGCAGCCTCCTTGTTCAGCGGGTCCGACGCGTTTGGCTCAAGGAACAGAAACTGTAACCCAACAACAACCGCATTCAAGTTCAACACCGGCTTCCAGTCTTCTCGCAGAATGTTCAAGCAGACGTTTCCCTCAAGGTCGATGTTCGGGTGGTAAATCTTCTGTGTGCACTTGACTTTTGGCGGGTCGTGAGGGAAGTTCTGGTTGATCTTGAAGTCGAACCTGAAGCGTCCGCCCTTGTACATGCCCTCGTCGGGGTCGATTGTGAGCTCGAAGTTAAGGATATCGTCGGGGTTAGGGAAGTGCGTCTTCATTGTTGTACCAAGGGATAGCTCTTCGAGATCTGTGATCGCGTTAGCTTTTGCGCGCGAAGACGTGGGTGAAGTAGGGATGGCGGTACCTTTCTGTGTGCGTAATTGGGCTGGGGTGACCTTCTTCTTCTTGCTCGAGGCAGCTGCTGCAGCCTCGTCCTGCTGCTGCTGCTTCTTCTGCAAGGGGTGTTAGCCTTTGCTGTCGTACGACCTGGCACTTGCGGTCCCAGAAGGGTAGTGACCTACCATAGACCATATTTTCATCATCTTGGCGGTATTTTTGGTGGCGTCTGGGCTACTGCCTGTATTGATATAACCGCGTGGGTGTGCTTTATGATGGGCGCGCGTGAGAGGATCGCGGGGCAATTGGCCAGCGAGAGGTAAGAGACCAGCGGACGGTCGCGAGACAGGTGAGGATAAGCAGAGGAGGTGCGAGGACAGATACCTGCGAAATCACAAACGCCAAACAAGGAGAAGGGCCTAGGGAAATTGTACGTGACAGTGAGGATAAGTTGGGTAGGCTGCCACGATCGTCGGGCCTCCGTCCGTGCATGCGACGTGGGGCGGCGACGCCCACTCCACGACTTAGTCATCACGAGGTCCTCAGATGTCTGTATGAACACCAGCCAAACTTCCGCAGGACAAAGGAAAAACAGTTACAACAAGGATGATGGAAGTACCAACAAGAGATGCGTTACAATTCTCAGGTCCAGAGAGCGAACAAATCGTGGACTATCTACCCCCTCTGCCATTATCCCCAGTCCGACGGCTCCCATCTGACAAGCCCTTCGTCACCTTAACCTTCGCTACTTCCCTAGATAGCCAACTAGCAATTGCACCAGGAGTACAGACAGCGCTATCCGGACCGCAATCGAAAGCCATGACGCATTTCCTGAGATCAAGACATGATGCCATTCTGGTCGGAGTTGGGACAGCTATTGCCGACAACCCATCGTTGAATTGCCGGATCGAAGGTGTGGGTGGTTATGGTGGTGAAGGACTTGACGGGCAGCCAAGACCAGTTGTCGTTGATCCACATGGACGATGGGAATATAGCGAAGAAAATAAAGTGATAAGACTAGCTAAAGAAGGAAAGGGAAAGGCACCTTACATTATGACGTGCGTGGAGCCGTCTGACTCTAAAAGAGCCGTCCTCGAAAGTGTAGGTGGCGAAGTGATACTTCTGGGACCCACGGCCGAAGATTTCAATACGGTGTATTCAACATGGCACGTCATTCTTGACGCTTTGTTGCGTCGGGGTATCGGAAGTGTAATGATCGAAGGTGGTGGCTTCGTGATCAACAATATACTAGGACGCGACCTTGCCTATAATCTAGTAGACTCTGTCATTGTTACGATTGCTCCGACATGGCTCGGTAAAGGCGGTGTCCAAGTATGTCCAGACGGCGGGTCGAAGCAGTTGCCTGTAAGGAGATTGAAAGACACGAAATGGATACCATTAGGAGAAGATGTAGTACTTTGCGGGCGACCGAACAAGGAACTCCGACAATGAGAAGTACTATAGGTAGGGTGTATGTAAGACTTGAGCATATTCTAGGCTAGCTTATCCATGGCAGTTCGTCAGATACCGTGCCCTGAAATAAGTCTTTGACACTATCTTCGAAACCCTGAAAGTGCTTGGCCCCTTTGCTAGCATCCCATCCACGAAGCTGTCTCTTTCCGCCTAGAAGATCTCCGGTACCTAAAGGATCACTTTCCCATGCCGTATATCCATTCTCTTCCTCCCCACGAAGTGTGTTTCTTAACTCGCTGCTCGACATAACCGGGTCGATGCCCTGAACCTGGATACGCTCTTTTGGCCATCGTATTGCTGGGGCATGTAGATCTAGGAAGCGTCTCGCCTTGAAAGCATGTGTAATGACGCGGATTCGTTTTGGGTAGCTGCCGGTAGCTTCTCTGAATAAAAGGATGCTGAATAATAGGTTTTGGAATGAATCGGTTGCTTGCTCTTCTAGTAAGATATAGCCTCTGTTGTGTAGTCGATGGGTTCGTCCACCACCCATATGGCCTTCTGCCAACTCTTCTGCTAGGGCTGCATGATAGTATGAGCGTGCCTCCGTCTTTAGGGATTCCGAGCGTTTGGTGGCTCCACCACTGAGGACAAGGATGCTTTTAGGAGGGTGTTCTGCGTCCGTTCCAACAGTCAAAGCATCGATACCAGCTTTGACATGAGCCAGGAACGTCTCATGCTCGCCTATCTTGCCTGTTGCCTCGTCTGACTTTTGGAAGGGCGCTAGCAGCCAATTAGGCTCGTAGTGAGGACTGCGCAGTGGGAAGCTGGCGTCGTCTGCATTCGGAAGGAAGATGGCATGGCAGCAAACAATGATGAGATTGTCCGCACTCGGATAGCTCGGTAGTGGAATTACATGATCCGGATGAACAAAGTCGGGGTTATCGGGCGCTCTCCATTGAGAAGCACCGACGTGAGCCCCAGCTGCTGACACGACGGTGGCCGTGGCGGATGTTGATGAAGCCTTGGACTTGGATCTCGGTAGGCCCACTAGTGGTGCGGCTGAGGCCATGGCGGCTCGTACCGCTTAGCGGATATGGCGGGTCTACGAGGACTGGGTTTGAAGCTTGGTAGAGAGCGAACAGGAGGTTCAGTCACTGCAGTCTCGACTATAATGGACAGTACCACGATGCGGGGCAGTCGTACCGGATATGACGCGGGCCAAGAATGGGAATCATCAACGTGCTGCTTTCAGGAAAGGAAAACGAACTATTTTGGTGGTGTGGCTGACATCCATAACAAGTATACAAGTTTGTGTTTTGTTGAGACGCGGATGACGGAAGGTGCGAGCTGCCCTTCCCCGCGCTGTCATGTTCAAGCAAAAAGGAAGGCAGGAAGGAACGCATCGCATTGCTTTCCTGTCGCTACCGAGAGAGGGAGCTTGAGAGTGTCTTCTTTTGAACAGCTAGGAACTAATGGTTAAGATGGCACGTGATGTCTTGGGTGAAGCGCACAGGCTCTTGCCCATGGGCGTCCTGTGTTGGTCATTTAGACAAATGCGACGTCGAGAAGAATTGATGGCAGCGACTCTGCATCGCCGTTGGAAGCTAGCTTAAATGTCCGACGGCGCGTAACAGACCCATGTAGAGCATGCGCCTGCATCGAGCTGCCAATGTGTCGAGTGCATGGCGGTAGAGATGTGAGCCAGCGGAGAGATGAAGGGTCCAGGAACAAGCCTACAACGGCGACCCACTGCAGCGGATAGGAGACCTCACCAACAGCCTGGACCCTGTCAACGCACTGCCATGGAGCGACCTTAGCAGCAGCCAAACAAAGTCGCCGTGGGAGCAATGCAGCTATGCGTGCAGAAACTGATGTGGCGACGTGTAGTGACGAACCGAAAATGTACCGGGCCTATTCAAAGTATCAATCGCTCCGACTATGCACTCGTATACTTTGGTAGCATGGGTTACAGTGCCAATGCATGTAACCCTTTGTAGAGAACGTGAAGATCTGTGGGAGTGGATCCGCCTGCGGAGCAACCTTGGAAGGATGCTGACGTCGACCGTGCTACTACCCCTAGCTTGAGACATTCGACGCGCAGCCAGAGACGGGAGCCATCTTGTCCATGTCAAGCCACTTTGCAGCGGCGAGCGTTGTTGTGCATACGGCAGTCTGCAGAGTGAAACCAAAGCAGATGTAGGCATAGTGGCTGCGCAGTATACGCCCAGCAACAGCGAAAAGGGTAGATTCTGGGTGAGGCTGAGCAGGTATAAGCGTGGAGCTGATTAAGGCCTGTCTCTAATTTTAGCCGTCGTGGCCGGTCTAGCGCCACACTGACAGACGACGGCGACTGCCATGTGCTCTACTCGTGTGCCTCACCGCCAGCAGGTTTTCCGTCGTTGGTGAATTCAAGTAGAGGCGATTGCCAGTTCTTTGTCGAGACAGTCCCACGAAAGCACTTTCGTTAAAGGAGCGCCCGCCTACAAGCTGAAACCTGGCAGCACTTGGAGTCGACCAATAAGTCGTGTTTCAGCGCGGCCGTTTTCCTAGCGCAACCCTCCCCATCCCGCTCCAAGGGGTATAGCGCGCGTCCCTTCAGCTTTCTCAGCCCTGAAGCGCCCCAGACATTCCATCCACCTTTATCAAGCGACACCCCGAGTTGTGCGCTGACTACTTTTCTCTATCTCAACACTATCCTTCTCCACCGCCTATTCCTTTTTCTCGATAACATCGCCATCTGCAGCGCCGGCCCGTGGACTGCAGCACGTCATGGCGTACAACAATAACCAAGGTTATAACCTTGGAGACCCCAACACTGGCGTAGGCGCCCCTGAACCCGCGGGCAGCAAAAGGCACCACATACTGACAGCTACCCAGTACGACCGCCAGGAGCATGATGACGAAGTTGGTCGCTCGCTCCTGCACGAAAACCCTACCGGCGCCCACTCAGACCCTTTCTACGGCAACCCTGAGGTCCGCCCACACTCGACCTACAGCTTGACCGAGTCGTATGCCACCGACAGGCCAACACAATACCCCGGCCAGGCCCACGACGGCTCTGCCTACTCGGCGACGGGCGGTTACGACTCTCCGGGCGAGTTCGGCGCTCCTCAGCGAGCTCCATCACCATACCAGAGGAGCGAGACCAGCTCAACCGAGGCATGGAGGCAGCGACAGCAGCCCGGCGGAGGTGCCGCCGGTGGTCTCAAGCGTGGTATGACACGTAAGGTCAAGCTTGTCCAGGGCTCCGTCCTGAGTGCCGACTACCCTGTGCCTTCGGCCATCCAGAACGCCATCCAGGCCAAGTACCGCAATGACCTCGAGAGCGGCAGCGAGGAGTTTACACACATGCGCTGTAAGTCTTACATTCTACCCAACTTTTCCGTCCGCCTTTAACAGCTGTAGACACGGCCGCGACATGCGACCCCAACGACTTCACCCTCAAGAATGGCTACAATCTGCGTCCTGCCATGTACAACCGCCACACGGAGCTTCTCATTGCCGTCACCTACTACAATGAAGACAAGGTCCTTACCGCCCGTACTCTGCACGGTGTCATGCAAAACATCCGCGACATTGTCAACCTGAAGAAATCCGAGTTCTGGAACAAGGGTGGCCCAGCCTGGCAGAAGATTGTTGTGTGCCTTGTCTTCGACGGTATCGACCCTTGCGACAAGGGCACTCTCGACCTGCTCGCCACCATCGGTATTTACCAGGACGGTGTCATGAAGAAAGATATCGACGGAAACGAGACTGTTGCCCACATTGTAAGTTTGCGTCGTCATCAGTCTCATCCTTTCCAGCTAACAAGCCAAGTTCGAATACACCACGCAATTGTCCGTAACGCCCAACCAGCAGCTCATTCGCCCGCACGATGACAGCGCCAGCACGCTTCCTCCTGTCCAGATGATGTTTTGCTTGAAGCAGAAGAACACCAAGAAGATCAACTCGCACAGATGGCTTTTCACTGCCATTGGTCGTATCCTGAACCCTGAAGTCTGCATTCTGCTCGACGCGGGTACAAAGCCTGGACCCAAGTCGCTTCTCGCCCTCTGGGAAGGTTTCTACAACGACAAGGATCTCGGTGGTGCTTGTGGTGAGATTCACGCTATGTTGGGAAAAGGCTGGAAGAACCTCCTCAACCCGCTCGTGGCCGCACAGAACTTCGAGTACAAGATCAGTAACATTCTCGACAAGCCGCTAGAATCCTCCTTCGGATACGTGTCTGTCTTGCCTGGTGCTTTCTCTGCCTACCGATACCGCGCCATCATGGGCAGGCCGCTCGAGCAGTACTTCCACGGTGACCACACACTCGCCAAGATTCTCGGAAAGAAGGGTATCGAGGGCATGAACATTTTCAAAAAGAACATGTTCTTGGCCGAGGATCGTATTCTATGTTTCGAACTCGTCGCCAAGGCTGGCTCCAAGTGGCATCTTACCTACATCAAGGCCTCCAAAGGTGAAACCGATGTTCCCGAAGGTGTTGCTGAATTCATCGGTCAGCGTCGTCGTTGGCTGAACGGTTCTTTCGCTGCCGGTATCTACTCTCTTCTGCATTTCGGTCGCATGTACAAGAGTGGCCACAACCTGGTCCGCATGTTCTTCCTGCACATCCAAATGCTCTACAACATATTCCAAACCATTATGGCTTGGTTCTCCCTGGCTTCCTTCTGGCTCACTACCGTCGTCATCATGTCACTTGTCGGCACCAAAACCGATGATCGGGATGCCTGGCCATTTGGAAACACTGCCACGCCCATCTTCAACGTCATCGTCACCTACCTCTACCTGGCATTCCTGGTCCTGCAATTTATTCTGGCCTTCGGTAACCGTCCAAAGGGTTCCAAGTGGACCTACCTGGTCTCTTTCTCTGTCTTCGCACTTATCCAGTTCTACATCGTCATCCTGTCCATCTACCTCGTTGTCCAGGCATTCACGAACCCGTCGTCGCAGAAACTCGATACCTCGTCACCAGAAGCATTTGCCTCATCTTTCTTCTCGTCCAGCGGAGTCGGTATCATCATCATCGCGCTTGCGGCTACCTTTGGTCTCTACTACGTCGCCTCGTTCCTGTACATGGACCCATGGCACATGTTCACCTCGTTCCCGCAATACCTGCTCATCATGTCGTCCTACGTCAACATCCTCAACGTCTACGCCTTCTCGAACTGGCACGACGTTTCCTGGGGTACCAAGGGTTCCGACAAGGCAGAGGCGCTTCCTTCTGCCAAGACAGAAAAGGGCGCTGACGGTAAATCCAACGTCATCGAGGAACCGGATCTGCCACAAGCCGACATCGACAGCCAGTTTGAAGCTACCGTCAAGCGCGCTCTTGCTCCTTACGTACCGCCTGTCGAGAATGACGAGAAGACACTAGAGGATTCCTACAAGTCTTTCCGTACCCATTTGTGTACGGCTTGGATCGGTTCAAATGCCACTCTTGCGGTTGTCATCACCCAGGATAACTTTGACCGCTTTGGTTTCTCTGTAAGTTTTTGCCCTGATCGCTCTGAATGATAATTACTAACAAAATAACAGTCTAGCGCCTCGGGCAGAACCGCCCATTTCTTCCAGGCCCTTCTATGGGCTACCGCTGCTCTTGCTATTGTCCGTTTCATCGGATGTATTTGGTTCCTTGGCCGCACTGGTCTCTTCTTCTGTGTTAGAAAGAGGTAGATGGTCCCCAAGCCACCACCTGGTCGAACCACCAAGCCTTGACGGCAACGGCCAGACCTTTGCATTTCCCCCATGCCTTCGATTCCCACTTAATCATGTTGGCGTTTCTTGGTGTTCCAGCGCGAGCTAGGAGCTACGTGGTCTGTTTAACAACAAAAATACCTCAAGATCATGACCCGCCCTTGTACCATCTTGTACTGAAATGTTTGGGGGGGTTGTCACATTTTGCGAAACTACTATGGGAAATGGAGGAGATATACCGTATATCACATTTGCACGATTAGCTTTGCTCTTGCGGGGTGTTTTATTCTAGATTGAATACCAGAATATGTTTAAAAAAAAAGACAAATGCTTCGTCCATTGATCATGTAGTCATTTATTTACTGGTTTACGTCACACGCTGCGGGTCTGTTCCAACTTCTGCTTCTTTTTCGTTCTGAAATCCCACCCGAGTATCGATATCTTTGGTCCATTTTCGCTCCTTTTCTTCTTCACTTTTCTCGTTAAACCTCCATGCCTAACATGGCACATGACCCTCGTGTTTTCCGCACTCTCAACCACCGCTACGCCCAACTGGCCCAGTAAAAGGCCGTATTTGGGCCCTGTTGAGCCGGACGAGTGAAAGCTCTATACTGTCTCTTCGCAGCATGCTTGCCATCAATCTGTTTGCATTCAAAGTAGGTGGAGTCAGACTTGTGAAAGCTCTGGACTGTGCGTATCTCTTGGATAGTACTATTGATTCCAAGTCAAGAATCAGGGCTGGTGGTGAAGAAGAGGAAGAAGAGGAAGAAGAGCGGTAAGGAGAAAGAGAAGAATTCGGTGGGCTGGATGGAAACAACGGCGTTGTTGAGGGTTTACTCGATGTAAATCGGTTTATTGCTGATGATGATGAGGTGATCGTTGGATCTGTTGGTGACAAGATTGACAAGGCGGAGTTGTGCCGAGATATTCTTTGCATCGTCTTGCCCGAGTAGAAGTTTTGGAGGAAGATGTTGAACTGGGTTGCTTGGTGAGGTTGGGGCGGGATATACATGATCGCTTCTTAGTATGTGGGATTTTGTGGAACTGACCGATCTTCTTTGTGGCAGTTGGGATGGTAGAGAGGAGGGTGTTGTTGTTGCCGCACTTGAGAGCGTCGTAGTAGACTCCTATAGGATGAAGAAATGGTTAGCATGGAAACAACCCTTGTGAGCATTTAGGAGGTGTTGGAAAAGTGATTACTTATTACGTTGTGCACTAAATCTCAGGAAATTGTTGGTCGAGTATGGTCATGGTTGTGTGTACCGTCGTTCATTTACAATCCATCCATCTCATCAAGACATTGCACGCAGTCAGGATTCACGAGGCAACCCTAACATTCGCCTCCCAGTCGCAAACAGTTGTCTTCCAACTACCAGTACCCAATTCAAGCTTGAACTGACTCCTATATGTCCTGCAGCCGTCACAAGGGCCATGCTCTTCCTTGTCCTCTACAACAGGCCACTCAACGACCTCCCATTCTTCGCCGAGTTCCTTTTCGTTATCGGAACGTTGGTCGTCGGTCAATGGTTTCGAAACGTTGGTATCGTGTGCTTCCACCAAGAGTCAGTCGAGTAAGACGATTTGATGCGTGACTGGACAACTGCGTTACCTTCTTTGCTCGTGGGCTTTGAGCCCAATGTCCTATTACCTACGCGAATCTGATATGACAACAGAGACCCCGGGGGGCGATAGGTGCCACCCTGCTGAGACATCGTCGATTACGGAGCGCTACTTTGCCGTGCCTTGGTAAACTATCCGACTTCAGAATATTACATCGTTGATGCGACGTGCATAAAGGACAAGGCAAAGGATTTTTATGATGTTGCAGCCCACTACAGGGCTCCTTTCGATGACTATCCGTCGGCTGACAATAGCGTTGGTTGCCTGGTGGGGCGCAGCCTCGTTACTCCATTCCTGCAGGGTTCCAGAACGGGCAATCATCTGCATCGAAACCCCGGATCTGACGGCTCGCCACAGAACATGAAGGGAGACAAGTTTCTGACCTGAAATTTCGTTCAGGATAGCCGACTCTAATCTTATTGGAGAAAATCATTCACCTGAGTTATCCTTGACGAAATCTACCTCAAAGATATTCTTGGATGCATATGTTGATAGCACAAGGAAATCTTAGATAGACTATATTTTTAAGAGACACAATGACGTATGTTGACGATGAACATGCTTCTACTGATAATTGTCGGTATTGTGGTTCACTATGCAATGTCGCAAGTCAAAATGAACATTATGAAATTTTGTATCTCTCTCACGCCCGCTCCATATAGAAGCTGATACGCTATCTTCTCTTCTCGTCACCAGCCATGCAATGCTACACAATTGGAACAACAACGCCAAAAGTGTGTATACATACAACAGAACGTCCATCAAGCAAACAATTAAGATAGGGAAGCCGTGATATCATATCCTGCATCCATCCATGGGCCTTTTGTGCCCACAACCAAAAGGGGAAAGGAATAGCCGCTGACGTCGATTGGAGTGATCGCTCGACCGCGGGATAGTAAAGGAAAACCGCTAATCAGTCTGTCAAAAAAGTAAGAAAGATATGTCGGAACTGAAATCAACCATCTAGTGCTTGGGGCAGCAGCATACGTGTGGACCACTCTCAATGACTTCCTTGGTGGCCTGGTCTTCGTACTTCTTGAAGTTCTCCATGAAGAGCTTGCCGAGCTTCTCGACTTCGCCCTTGAAGTCGGCGGTACCGTTCCATGACTTGGCAGGGTTGAGCAGCTCGTCAGGGACGTTGGGGCAGGTCTTGGGGACGGAGAGACCGAAGGTTTCGTAGGTTTCGTATTCGACGTTGGCGAGCTCGCCAGAGTGGATGGCGTCGAGGATAGCACGGGTGTACTTGAGAGGGCAACGCTAGGGAGAATATTAGCATGTGTTCGCATGTATGTGTTGGAGAGTCTTGGCTTACCTTGCCGCCTGTGGTGGCACCGGCACCGACCCAGCCGGTGTTGAGGAGCCAGGCGTTGGCACCATGTTGCTGAATCTTCTCCGCAAGCATCTTGGCGTAGCGCATTGGGTGCAGGGCGAGGAAGGGTTGAGCGAAGCAAGAGGAGAAGGTGGCTTGGGGCTCGGTGATACCCTGCTCGGTACCGGCCATCTTGGAGGTGTAACCAGAGATAAAGTGGTACATGGTTTGCTCGGGGCTGAGCTTGGAGATAGGAGGAAGGACACCGCGAGCGTCGCAGGTAAGGAGGACAATGTTCTTGGGGTGGCCGTCTGAGATGCAGGGGATCTTGGTGTTCTCAATGTACTCGATGGGGTAGGCGCAGCGAGTGTTCTCGGTCAGGGTGTCATCGTCGTAATCAACAATACGGGTTGTAGGGTCAAAAACGACGTTCTCGAGGATGGATCCGAAGCGGATGGCGCCGTAAATGTCTGGCTCCTTCTCGGCAGAGAGACCAATGCACTTGGCGTAGCAGCCACCCTCAATGTTGAAGACACCAGTGTCACTCCAGCAGTGCTCGTCGTCACCGATCAAGGCACGCTTGGGGTCGGCAGACAAAGTGGTCTTGCCGGTTCCGGAAAGACCGAAGAAAACAGTAACATCCTTGTTCTCGATACCCTCGTTCGCTGACGAATGCAGAGTGAGGACGTTGTGCTTGACGGGCATCTCGTAGTAGAGCACAGTGAAAATACCCTTCTTCCTAGATGATGGCATATAATGTCAGTGCATGCCTCAGAAAGCTCATGTAGGGGCGTTGCTTACATCTCACCAGCGTATTCGGTACCGAGGATAACCATCTCCTTGTCGGCAAAGTTAAGGGCAACGGATGTTGACGAGGTCATACCACTCGTGTACCTGTTGGCAGGGAAAGCACCAGCATTGTAGATGGTGTAGTCGGGCTCGAAGTGTTCCAATTCTTCTCTTGAAGGACGGATCAACATGTTGCGCATGAAGAGAGCATGGTAGGCACGAGCGCAGACGACTCGTACGCGTATCCTGTAGCGCTCATCCCAGCCGGCAAAGCCATCGACGACGTAGATGCGGTTCCTGGTGTTGAGGTAGTCGATAGCACGCTCACGGTTGATACGCCAGACCTATACGACAAGGTTAGCAAATGGAACAAGATGCGCACGTGATGGTCTTCCGCATGGATCGATGGAACTTTGATCCGTCATGCAGGCGCAAAGATGCGGGGCAGCCGAGCCCCAGAACCGCCACGTGCAGGGATGCGAACTCCATCGGGTATGTGGCTAGCGTACATGACGTCTGCCGCCAAAATTTCACAAGCCAAACCGCGGTTTGACGTAAGGCAGAAGTTTAAAGGGATTAGGGAATGCGGAGAAACACTTACGTCGGTCTTCATCGGCTTGTTGACTGGGCCCCACCAAACATCGTCTTTTGACGTGTCTTCCTCGACGATGCGCTTATCCGAGGGTGAGCGGCCAGTCTTCGCCCCTGAGTATGCTGAAAGGGCGCCTGAAGCTGTGATGGCTGAACCAGTCTCATATACGAGCGCATCTTCGTAGAGGGCAGCGACTGAAGGGTTGGCGATCTAGTGGACTTGTTAGTGTTGGAATCGAGGTTTATGCATGCGGCAAGCTTACAATGGCTACACGGTCATAGTCGATGTGTGCCTTGTCGTGGAGGGCTTCTTCAATCTCCGTGTGTTCCTTGTTCGGCCTGTGAGAAGCATGTCAGTCTTTGTTTACCTATTTCAGGTCAATTGACCTTGGAAAGGCAGGGTCACGCACGCAACGCCGGAAGGATGGAGGTTTGTCTTGTTGACGCTTTGAGAAACCATGGTGTTGGATATGAGTGGAGAGATGGAAGACGAGTGGAAATTGGAACGCTGTTGTTTTGACACCTGTTGACGGGCAAAGTCTTGGGCCAAAGGAGCTGGGCTTGCTGTTCGAATGACGGGGTCCGAGGTAGCTTTAATACCATTCGAAGCCATTCTGACGACGTCGTCTGCGCTCAGTCTGGCAATGCTGGGCCGGGGACAAGCTAGCGCTACTGGAGCTGATTGGGTAATGGTGCGTGTTTGGGTAGTGGGAGTGCCGGTCGGCTCACGAGGGACGAAAATAACGCGGAGCTGGGCACGAGAGCTGGGTAACTTCGGAAGGAGTGCCCGGCAAGTGTAACCACAACCACCAGCTTTATGGCCGATGAATCTTAAGCCGATGCGCATGGATCTCCTATGTTCCAAAACTAAAACTAAGGGGAGGTTTGCGGTCACTGTTGTGTCATGGTCGATGACATTTTCGCTGCAACGGAGCCCTCGTGACGATTGTAACGACTGCGTGAACTGCAATGCGCGGGCTGGCATTGGCTGGAGGGGCTGATCGCACTTACCCCACATTCACGCTCGCTGGATGCGGTAAAGGCTCAACGACCTTTCGTCATTGTTTCATTGGCCACAATTCGGCTATAGCCACGTCTTGGCCTATTTTTCGCCGGCATGCGATTGAATCGTCGACCGTGTGATGCTTTTCCGAGGTCTACTGGAACAATTACGAGGTACCTGCAGCAAATGCCGCATATCTCCAACACAGCAACTTTGCGTCAGTACTGCGCGCATCACGATAATCAATAGCAGATAGCGTAGCCTGGCCACAGCGAGGCGGTGCAAGATACCACAGTTCCGGTTCCAGCTCGTGTGCGGTTTGCGATCCACACAAACCCCTGCACGATGATGGAACGCTGTTCGGCTTAGCTCTCGATCTCACAATGCACAAATCAAGCGCCTCGGACGGATGGCACTGATAATCGGAAAAGCTGAGGCATTTCGATACATCTCACGATGCCTTGTTAACCCGACTTCTTGCGAGATTGAGTTTGCATGTGTCAAGTGCCGAGCATCTCGAATGCGCGGTGGGTTAATCCCGCATGTCCTTCGACAGCCACGGTAGAGAACATCACATTCATTGCGTCCTCAGACGCCAAGTACAGTGGAAGCTACTGCGCGCTCGTACACATGACAGCTGCGCTGTCAAAAATTACTATTAATTGCTACACCGCTTGAAAATCTCTATACGAATGGCACTATGGTGAACGCTAGAGTCCAGCCTGTACGTACACCAAACCTCTAGCACATGCTCTAGATCCCCAAGAGGCATTTCGCGGGGAATGCACGAGGCGGAAATGAGCCCCACCCTGCGCTGGGATGGGCCGTTCCAAAGCTGCGTGCTAACCCAGCCTTGCGCGTTCCGGCCGCGGGCAAGCTAGGAGTTTTCCGGAACCCGCATCTTCACAGCGACAAGCAAGCCATGTCGCTGCACACTGTGCCGAATTCTTTTTTTTTCTATCTCAAGCTGCATCGCCGCTCTGTGTCTTCTTCTTCTTCGCCGTCTCCTTTTTTTGTTTGCGCGCCGCTGGGCTGAAGAATGACTTGATCTGGCGCAGGCCGCCCAAGTAGAGCCAAGTGCAGACGAAGACGACTGCAAAATTGAAGAAGATGTAGGCCCACATAATGCCAAAATCGCGCCAGATGGACTTTGGGAAGACGTTGAACGAAGCTGCGAAGGCGTCGCCCGTTGCGTACTGACAGAATCCACAAGTACCGTCTGGCTGGGCTTCGACATAACCCCCCGCTTGCTGCGCGAATTGACCGGCATACGTCTGACAGTCTTGGCCAGGTGGGGGTGGAAAGATCGCCAACTCGTTAGTCTCGCATCTGATCTCTTGTCCTTGCACAAGTAGCGCGAGGAACCCTTCCAGTAGGTATCGGAAAGGCGTCAAATGGTACATCCAAGATTGCCTAGGTCTGCAGTCAGTCTACCTGTTATAAGCAGTTCGTAAATGGGATTTCTTACCAGAATGTGGGTAGTCCGTTGTAGGGCACAACCACACCACAGAAGGAGACGATGAAAGTAAAGAACAGCGGCACAAGTAGTGACGCGAGTAGCTCGTTGGGGGCAAAAGAGGCGATGGCCTGTCCAAAGCCTAGATAGAAGATCTCGAAGAGCATGACGAAGAGCCAAACACTCGCCGCGGTATACGTATCGCGAGGAAAGCTGGGTGGGAAGTACCAGCAGCACCAGTAAATGGTTCCAGCGACGATACGGTATGGTAACTCGCTAAGTATGGTACCCCATACCATCGCCGTCCAGGAGTAGATCTTAGCGCTGCCTTCGCGGGACTCATAGATGCCACGCACGCTGATGAAGCGGGGTTGTAGTTGCTGGATCAGAGGAGGCGCAATAGTGAGGGTCATGAAGATGGAGAAGAGTCGTGATTGCATATCGATCTGACTTTGTCCGAGATTCCAGAAAGTGAAGCCGTTGAACAATCCAGTGATGATGTGCAACATGACCATACCTGATACCTAAACATAGGTGTGAGAAGTCAGTAAATGTCTCATATGCAGTTCGTAGATGGAGATGACTTACGTATGGAGGGTCTCGCCAAATCGCCACGAAACTTCGCTTGACAACTGTAAGCCATTGCTGAATATATGGCATCGCATATTCTCTGTCGTCACGAGCTTCATCGTTCTTCGATGCGTCACGTCTGCTGGCGATGATCTCCTGTATCTCCTTGCCCAGCTTTTCGTTTTCCGGGCTCTTCTCCCAGACATCACCCCAGTCCTGGCCCTTATAGTCGGGATTGCCAGCACCTATAGCCTCCAGCATGTATTCGGCAGGGTTAGTCTTGGGGCCGATTTTCTCGGCACCATTGTTCTGAAGATACTCGATAAGGTTCTGCGAGTCGTGGCCTAGATCACCAAAATAAACCGTTCTACCTCCAGATTTGAGAAGCAGGAGCTGGTCAAAGTGCTCAAATAGAACAGCACTGGGCTGATGAATCGTGCAAAGAATCGCTTGTCCAGCATCCGCGAGCTGAATCCAAGTCAGTTAGTGGTCATATACGGTACAGATTCGTCAAACTTACCTTGCGCAAGAACCGGACGATGTTAAAAGCAGCACCAGAGTCCAAGCCAGATGTAGGCTCATCAAGGAACATTAGCAATTCAGGTTTGCTTGCAAGCTCCACACCGATGGTCAGACGCTTCCTCTGCTCTTGGTTGAGTCCATTTCCAGCGGTACCAATAGCTGCTCCAGCGATATCGCGCATCTCCAGCAAGTCTATGATCTTCTCAACGTAATCGTACTTTTCCTGGATAGGTACCTCTTTAGGTTGTCTCAACCGTGCTGAGAATTGAAGTGCTTCGCGTACTGTCGCCGTTGATTCGTGTACATCCATTTGCTCTGCAAAACCGGTGCTGCGTTGAAAACTATGAGGCAATGGCTTCCCATCGACCAAGAAGTCTCCACGAACGACGCCAAAGTCGATGCGCTGAGCGAGGGTGTTCAACAGTGTCGTCTTGCCGGCACCTGAAGCACCCATCAAGGCAGTAAGCTTGCCAGGCCTGACAAAACCTTGTACACCCTTCAACAACGTCCGTTCGCCCTTCTCGTATGGAATGGTGTAGGTGATGTCTTGGAATGTAAAGATAGTCTCGTTCTTCGCTACCCCTTCAGCCGTCTTGTCAGAGTCGTCGTTGTCACTGGAGGAGTGTTTCTCGCTAACTGGCTCACTGTTACCAGCTTCTTCATCCTTGGGCAAAGTCTTAGTCTCCATCTCCTTCTCAACAGTCTTCGGCACCTGACCGCGCTTGTAGATTGTTACAGCACCTCCGCCTTTATTTGGTTTCTGGATCTCCATACCAAACGCGGTGAGTGCGACAAAGAAGAGGAAGAAGGCACAGATGAAACCAAAGTTGCGCCACAGGTGCGACCTACTGTAGCCAAAGGCTGCCGAGATGTAGTCTGGGCCAGAGACCGTAAGAGATCCAGGCGTATTACCTTGAATTGCGCAAGACTGATACTGCTCCTGCGCGCCTGGAATCTGCGGCGCGATGAACGGAGGCACACATTGAATCTCCAGGTTGTAAAATTCGTTTGCTAGGAGACCTTCGAAGCCGTATTGGATAGGATTAATCCATCTTAGCCATGAAAACCACGGATGCATCTTCGCTGGAGGAATCAGGTAACCAGTATATACGACGAGTGCTTGTATGGCAACACCAGTAATTCGAGTTGCAACATCCAAGGATCCTACCAAGGCACCAATAGCTCGGAAGAAAGCATACATGGTCATTGTAATGATCCAGAGGAAGAGTAAGCTGATGAAGAACTGAGATGCTGTTCGTTGCAGGTTCGCCATGAAGTAAACCACGATATCGAAGATGAAAACTTGAACTAGCACCAGGGGCATGTCGATCAGGGTTTGCGCAATCGCGTAGGCGGCTGGTCGATAGAAAGAGAACGTTTTGTGTTTCAACAAAATAGGCCGGGACTCGAAAGCAGACGTAAGTTCGGCGAGGGCGAGAAGGGCGTTGAAAAGAAGCCTAAAGGTTGGTCGTGAAGTTAGTACTCGTCTCATGTACTGCTTAGTAGGATATGACTTGCATGAAAAAGATGACACCACCACGTGGAAACACGCCTTGTGCGGTGTTTGGAAGATTGTAAAAGAGCGATCCGACGATGAGCGCCTGGAAAAGAATACCTCCCCATTTTCCGATGAGAGATTGCGGATCTCCCACCATTACACGGAATTGGCGATCGGTACAGGCAACGACTTGGGCTGGAAACGAGATGGTAAAGTTCTTCTTCTTCGTAGCCTTGGTGCGGGCCTCGTGACGTTCTTCGGCCTGTCGCTTGGTCTCCTTCTCAAACTCTTCAATCTCAGCAAGGTTATCATTGGCTTGTTCGCTGTTGTGGAATGCTTCGCCGAAAGCCGCACCGGTGCGGGGAATGCGGTCCTCCCAGCCTTCCTTGATTTGTCGCTCGTGGTCATCTGTGACGGATGTCAAGAAGTCACTAGTAGTCCAACGCTCGGGTTGAACAAAGCCTAGGTTCTTGAAGTAGTCTGCAGCCTTCTCGGTAGGTCCAAAGTAGCAGCATCGTCCCTCGTGGATAAGGAGAACTTTGTCGAAAAGGTCATACAAAGACTCACCTGCTTGGTAGAGCGCTACGGCAGTAGAGATTTGAGCCATGTTCGTAAGGGAACGCAGACTTTGGACGTATTCGAGAGCAGTACTCGCGTCGAGGCCTTTCGTCGAATTATCCCAAGATTGTACTGAAGCCTTTGTGACCATGGCCTCTGCAATTGAAACACGCTTTTTCTCACCACCTGAGACACCACGGATCATTTCGTTACCGACCTTTGTACCCAGTGTGTGTTCAATCCAGAAGAGTTTGGTAACCACACGAAGAAACTCGTTTACGTAGTCCTTGCGAGACTCGCCTTCTTTTCGTGATTCTTTGCCAGGTGTTCTTGTCTTCAGAGCAAATCGCAATGTGTCTTTGACCTTTAGTGTCGCGTAATGGAGGTCTTCCTCGGGATTGTAAAGCACCTCTGAACGATACTTCTTGCCCATCTCGTCGGCATCTGTGCCACCGTACGAGACATCGCCTGTGATCTCTTCGAATCCATACCGTTGATTACCGATCATCTTGAGAAATGTGGAGCAACCAGCTCCCGGTCTTCCGAGGACCAGAACCATCTCACCAGGTCTTATGCATCCAGAGAAGTCGTCGAGAAGAGTTCCTAGATATTGGTGTAAGAAGTCAGTAATTGTCTCACATACAGTATGTACAAAAATACCACTTACGAATGGGGGGCTTTCCGGCTGCCTGACGCGGCCCCTTGGTTACAAGGTTCTTGATGAGCCGAACTGGGTTCAGGAAGATATCTCCAACACTTGGCTGCAAAGCTGCTCCAATGCCCATGCCCTTGACTGTCAAGTGTTTAAATATAACACCTTGATGCCGGGTCTTCTCTTCTTCTGATGCCTCCTGTCTAGTACGCCCGAACATCTTCGACATGAGTTTATTGATCTCATCTTCTTCCTCCTGACTTCGCCCTGAAGCATTAGTGTTAGACTTGCCGAGGCCGTTGTTCTGACTCGTCATTCGTCGGGACAGGGCGCGGAACAGGTCGTCTTCTGTCATGGGTCTGGAGTTCTTTGACTGCAGACCAGGCCGTTTGGCGACAGCGGCAGGCTTGATGGATGGCTCGCCTGCTTCATGTTCCGAATCGGATGAGTCGTCTTGAAGAACTACATGTTCCTCAACTGGGTCTCCCGATGTCGTCTTTTGAAGGTAGTCATTGCCAGGGGTAGATGGTGTGATAACCGCGTTTCCAGGCATGGTTTCTTTGGCTTGTTGTTCGTTTGTGACATCCTGGATTGACCGGACTTCTGGGGATGCTACCGCTGTGGAATTGCTTGAAGCTGTAGACAACTGCGTGCCATCTGCACCGTAATAGCTCCGACTGCTGGTATGTAGAGCATTGGAGATGAAAGTGTTGTGCGTGTTTGCATTGTCGTTGTGGTCAGACACATTTGAATAGAGATTGGATTGTCGTTCCAAATCGTTATGTGAGCGCTGCTGGTTGGATCCTAGAGAATTCTCGGTAGTGTCGTTGCCAGACGCCATCGCGAATGGTTCCAAATTTAGGGGAAGCTAATTGATAGCAGTAATCGTCGTGAGGCTATTCTGAGGACATCCACCATACAATGATCGACAATAAACAAAGATGGCTAGAAGTGGCCGTTTGCGACGGTCTCAAGGGACTATCCGCGAAATTTACTGACTTTGCTGGGATTCTAGACGAAGGGCACAAGACTATAACATAGTCACCGTGCCAGGTAAATACGCCTTGCTGCGTGCGCACGCTTATTGCGGCCTCCATGTTTGCGACGCGTCAAGAGTTCGGGGAGAAGTGATGATGTCATGTTGATGTTAGACTCAAGATCGGTAAATCGGAATCTAGCCTCGTATCCAAGCCGAGAAGTGATTTGACGCCTCTTTGATCGATGCACGATCTGGCACACACGCGATCGCCCCGCGGAAGCGCTAGGTGCCCGCGGGGAGCGGAGAGTTGCTGGTGCGTGGGCGTTTGGATAAAGCAGCGCAGTCGCTCCAGAAGCAAATGTGTGCGCAAGCTCGACTTTTCGATAATGTTTTCCCTATATCTCTTCTTCTAGTTGAGTAAAGGATCTAATACTGCACATTGCAGTACCTGCGCGCTGTTGGGCAAGGTCCTAGAGTTGCTTCGTGCCAGGGGCAATACTGCGCTTCATCGATGCGTCAGGCAAGAGGGGCCAAGCGGTGCTTGTCAACGCAGTCACTTGGCCCTCGCTCCAACTTTCGACCGATGCAGATTGACAATTTCCTTATCCAGTATCCATGCCGCGATTCACCAATTGTGCACTCACAAAGTCCTTCGACATTCTTCCTTCTCGTACCGTTCCGAACGTGAGCACCTAGTGTAATACAGTCGAGTTAGAACCCAGAGCTATCGCACACTCGCCAGCATTGGCCAACGTATCAATTGCATATAAGTGATGAATGAAGATGAAGATGAAGATCGAGTCACAAGGTGTTCAGGTACGAATAGTCTGACCGATATAATGGGATGGGTTGCTATCGCATTCGAATACGACATATTCTATCGTGCAGAGGCAGCATCCTTGGAGAGACTCGTCTTTTGAATGGCAAAGCCAATCCGATGGTATACATTATGATGTGTTGCTTCAACTCGTGCACATGGAACATCGCAAATATGTTATATGTACATTCTGCTCTGTGTTACGTATAGTGTTTGTGAATCATACAATATTTGAGTAACTCTGACGCCAATATAGTTGTTGATATATGTAAATTTTCTTTAGCATAATAACGATTGTGGGATTGTAACTATCAGTGGCTCATCGTCTGTTGGTCAAGTCATCACAGTATCACCTATCGTTAGCTACCTAAGTGAGTAAGCAATCCCTTTTGGCTTCTAGCAGTAATTACCAACTACGAATTGTCGCAACCCACTTCCCTCACATGCAGAATTCTTGTCTAAGTAACCTTAATCGTCGATGTCTACAAAGCCGCCTCATCCATGTTCCTAATCCAGCCCCACATCCACTTCACGGTATCCAAATGCGCTTGCACTCCAACTCTCTCGTCGACAGTATGGATATTTCCTAGACCAACCTGCTCCTTATCCCAACCTGGCCCATACCTGAAGATGTTCTCGCTCAAGTCCCAGTAATAACGCGTATCCGTGTTACCAGTCATGATACCAGGGCTCACAAGGAGTTCTCTACCGTAGAGGGCGCGGGTGGTTCCCGAGAGAATTTGGTATGGCGTCACGGTCTTATTAGAGGCAGATGTGTGGAGAGAAGTGGGTGTAACGGGTGCTGGTTCTAGCATTGTGGGTCCGTGGGAGAGAGTGATGCTAGAGGGGGTTTCTGTGCCGTTGAATGCATGCAGTGTGAGGTTGTACTTGTGCGCTACCTGAGCTGCAAGGGACGAGATGTGTGCTTTAACATCCGAGGAGCTTGAACCAACGTTTATGCGGTGGTTTACCGTTATCTGCGTGCGCTCAGGAAGTGCGTTTGTTTTCACGCCACCGTGGATTATGTCGACTGCCACGGAGGTCGTGAAGAGATATTTTATGCCCGGGCCCGCTTTTGCTGCTTCAAGTGCGAGAGCGTCTTTTGTTGGTTTCTTCGAACATGCTGCACTTCGTTTAGAGCGCTTGTCGAGCAGTTTCCCTAGATGGCGGGGAAAGTCTGAGGCATGCTCGGCACCGCATTGGAGAAGACCTAGGTAAGGGTTTTCGTCAAAAAGATGAGGCTCGTAAGGGTTGGCTTCTATCAAAGTGATGAGCTCGCTGGCGACACCGATGCCGTTGTGCGGTGGAGGGATGCTGCTATGGCCGCCAGGCATGCGCACGACAATGTCAACGTCGACGTAGCCTTTCTCGGCGACACCAGGGATTGCGAAATTTGCCCCCCAGCTCTCAACGTTTACTGCGCCTTCATCGACGATGGCAGCGATGGAGTTGTGTCCAAGTTTCTTGACCAGGTAGTTCGCAAGGTGTTGCGCACCTTCCCGACCAGAGATTTCTTCATCAAATCCAAACGACAAGATCAATGTTCTCTGAGGAGTAAAGCCAGCGGAAATCAACGCCTCGACGCTGTTCAAAATAGCCATCAACTGGTTCTTGCAATCGCTCGCACCCCTACCCCAAACAAACTTCCCGTCATAATGACCTGAGAAAGGCGGGTAGGTCCACTGCTTGACTGTAGAATCCGGAACCGGCACAACATCCTGATGCGCCATGAGCAAGTTAGGCTTCAAGCTTGCATCCGTGCCAGCCCACGTATACAGCAGCCCATGCGTATTGACCTTCTCCAATTGCAATGTCGCGTGCGTGAGCGGAAAGGTTTTTCCAAGATAGTCTGCGAAAGAGTACATTATATCCCATCGCGGGTCAGATCCGATCTCGCCCATGTCATCGTAGCTTTGCGTGGGAATCTTGACAGCACCCGATAGGCGCTTAATTGCAACATCACGAAAAGCATCCGATGTCAGGTAGCTCTCCATTTCATCCAACTCTTTCGTTCTCTTTGTCGGGAACAAGGGTTCGACTTGTGGGCATTGCGCTCCAGACTTGGCGTTGCTTAAGTCTGGAGGAAGGTGCCATGACGACGAGATGGGGGCGGTTGTATGACGTAGGAAAGCCAAAATTCCCAAGCAAAAGACAGCACTGCCGATGAATTGACGATTGTACGATGGCCTGTACGACTTTGGAGGAGTTGCAGCTGATGTCTGCTTTTCCTTGTTATTGGCCGCCATTGTGATGAGTATTGAAGGTCGAAGGCTTGGAAGCTTAGAGCTCGGAGCGCTGGTTATGGACATTACGCGGGGATAACCGACCTCGGAGTAGTACGTCTATACTAATCTCAATCAGGAAGGTACATTCACGGACTGCAGTATTATTATCGGGTCGTCGAAACACTCGTATCTACTTCCCTGTCATCGTGTGCTCAGAGTGTAATTGCATCACAAACTGCTACAATTTCGCAATTGATGCGCTCTCGAGGAACGCAACTGACACCATCTGTGACAAATGAAAAAGAGATCATTCTCATCTGGATAGCTCCACTGTAGCCACCTCCGAGTCGTGTCCACTGTGGCGTCATACCCATAGAATGTAACGTACAATTCCCATCAGTGTTTATCGCCCCCACTCTTCAACATCGCCGCCACCTATTTACTCCATCAAGCCTGAAACTTCCATCTCGGATGGCGATCACCCATGGCCAGATCCTCCACTGTGTCGTGGAAACCGCGAGTATCTGGTTTCTCCAGCAATATCCTCTCTTTCTCCTTGTTCTCCTTCTTCAAAACCACCAATAATGCCCCGACAACGACCAGATTCAGACATGAATACCCAAGTGCAAAGCTATGCCCAAGAACGTATCGCGGCCCGGAATTCGCGCGGTACAGCTGCGTACCCAGCACTGCTCCCAAGTTGCCGATGCTGATCTGCATGGCATTCGCGGTCGCTCTCTTTGTCTGTCCACTTACGTTGATTGCAGGCCAGCAGAGGATCAATGCGACGGACGGGTATATTCCGATAGCGGCAAAGAAGGTTCCAACGTAGGAAACACCTGGCCGTGCCTTAGGATCGGTGTTCGCGAGCAGGATAATGTATCCGATGATCGCAACGGTGGAGGTCGTGAGGATGAAGAGTGCACGACGGGCATAGCGCTCAGAGAGTATTGCCCAGAAAATTGTGAAGATTGTCGCAACCGCATAAGGTGGGATGGTAAGAAGTTGAGACTGGGCTGACGAGTAACCCATATCCCGAATAATCGTTGGCTTTCTTACTGTTAGACAGGAATATTTGACGCATTCAGTAGTGCAAAGCGGCTGGCTTACCAAGAACAGTGATAGAGTATACAAAGGTAGACTCATAGTATGAAAGGCTAAGGCATACAACCAGATCTTGATGTCCTTGGCTGCAACCCGCACTTCAGCCCATGAAAACTTCTCGTCATTTGTCGCGTCACTATCAGCCTTAAGACGCGCTTGTACAAAGGCTCGCTCTTCTTTACTGAGCCAGCTGACTGTGTTGGGATAATTGGAAATGAACCAATATGCGACCACCGCGATCACAATCGTTAGAAGACCCTCCTATATGGTTTGTTAGCATAAGAACGACCTTCGGATAAGCATACTTTCCAGAATGAAAATCCATCTCCAACCAGCATATCCGCCAACGTTGCGCATATGCGCAATGCCCCAGGCTAGGATCTGAAGCGGTCAGTACAAGCGATCAAACTTGTGATGCGGGCACAACATACTCCACCAAAAGCTCCAGCAAGTGAAGCGCAGCTGAAGAACAAAGAGATACGGTATTGGCGTTCGTTTCTTTTGTACCACATCGAAAGGTAGTATACAACGCCTGGAAAAAGTCCGGATTCAGCGACACCCAAACTGTTCTCAAGTCAGCCCATTTGTTCTGGTGCATTGCTTGTACGCCAAGTACTTCCCAACAACTACTCACAAGAAACGCACGGCAAAGAAGCCCTCTCGATTCTGTGTGACACCCATCAATGTTGCGACAACCCCCCAGACCAGCGTGAGTGTCGGTAGCCAAAATTTGGGTGTAGTTCGCTTGAGAATGATGTTGCATGGAATCTCGAATAGTACGTAACCGATGAAATACAGTGTAAGACCAGTGAGATATTGGTTTCCGGTCATATGTAGGTCGTCCGTGAGGCCTTCGATACGGGCGTTGGCGACTGGAGAGATAGGTCAGTATACGGTGCTTTCGTTGTGGGTAGGGCGTATAGCACCATTGCTGCGATCAAGAAAACTCAACAGATATAGCACTGAAACCGCGGGAAGTAACCTCAGATCCAGTGTTCTTAGCAACTTCTTCTCGTTGATTGTACCCTGAACAACCTCTACATCGCTGTCAGATGAGTCGGACGCGACAGGCGCGTTGTGCTTCTCCGATGCCATGATAATGGTCGCACTGGAGTCGGACCAGAGATGTTGAGATGATTTTTTCCATTTTGCGACAGCCGGGCACTAACGCCTACTTATCAACTCGCTATTCTCGAATTCTCCGTAGCTTGGGATGATGCAAGAACGTGGGTTGAGCAGCTCAAGCCGCCGCAGCGTCATGACCATGGGCTCATGCGCATACCCAGGCATGATTCTGGGCTGTCATTGGAGCGCATGGCATGTCGCGTTCGATGCGAGGTCTGATGCATGTTGACAGGTCCAGCTTTCCTCGGCATCGTTGCATAACATGGCGGAATGTTGCAAGGGCTTATGAGGTCTGGTTGTACACGAAATCGAGGGGTGGTATGTCGTGATTGTAGATCGCTGGTACTAGCCGCCTCTGGTATAGATCCGGAAGGACCGCGTTGCCATCCGCTGAAGACCACACGTAAGACATGTTGAGCGAGTAAGCAAAGTCCTGGCCTTTTCAAGCTGTTTACTTATCTAAATAGACATTCGCGCTTCTGACCTGGTGGTGAAGACCGCCTTACACATGGATTAGCGTTTCCGCATCGTGATGGATGGGTTGCTAAGATAGGTGGACTGCACACTACACTGATAGAGAGTGGAAGGGTACTACTATCAGTAGAAAGTCGTTATCGGATACCAGCATAGATTGGTTAATCTACTTATCCCTAGGTAATTTGACATCGTCTTTCTGTACATGAAGTGGTCCTCTCATCACACCTCTCTCGCTCTGACCTTTCATCCATGACGCCTTGTGAATCCTGGGCGCTAACATCAGGAAATCCGAACCTCAGGTTGTTATGTAATACCCTCTTCCCTGGCGGTTTCGTTACTTCATACACCACCTCTTTAGTCCTCTTTATCAACACGCCTAGCTCTCTCTTCGGTTTCAGTCCGAAAGCGCGAACCCACCTCTCCGCAACTGCGATCGTATGTAGCCACCTCACTCGCCTCCAGCTACTGAGCCTGTACTCGTGTAACAAGATATGCCCTAGTGTGTGTATATCCCTTCGAGCCCGTGTGAGCAAAGCCGTAGTCTTCTTCTCGCCTACCACATACTCGCTGCTCGTCTCTCGATTTAAAGAAGGCAACACATTCAGCGCGTCATGAAGTCGGCGCTTATTACTCAGAAAGACGTTTTGTGCGGTGACATCGCGAGCAGGCGGATGCATGTATCCAGCGGAAAGACCAAAGATACCCCAGCGGAAAGACTCTTGTGGAAGGGAGCCTCTAGCGAGTATCTCTTCAAGGACCACGACTGCGCAGTCCCACAGGAGTGTGAAGAGGTCTAGGTCTTCCTTCCCTGACCCAGCGGGTTGGGCGCTATATGTGCAATCTTGTGCTGCTGCGAAGGAGAGGGCGAGAGTGTCGAACGATGGATCTTGAGGCTTCGGATGCTGAGGCGGCCTCACATAGCGCGCGAAAACCGTTGTATTGGGTTGCTTGCTAGAAGGTCCATATAGCCCTACCAACGACTTGGCGTGCTGTAAAAAATGTAGGAAACGCTCGATGTTGGTCATGGTGATGGCGTCCGCGATAACGTCTTTGTTGAGTTGCAGCGCTGCTATGTCGTTCTCGTTCATCGGAAGTTGTCTACAAAAGTAGCTGGAAACTGTCTTTGGAGTAGATTGAGCTTTGAGATTGCGAGGATTGTACGATAAACTCGTATGAACACGCCAGGGGATGGTAGAGTACGATCGGCTTGCTAGACGACGTTCGTTAAGATTAAGGTGGTAAGATAAAAGCTGCAGGACCGAGACCAGGAACCAGGAAATGGTTAGTATAGACACATCTTGTGAATGACATGAATCACAATCAGCGTCGGTGAATGTGTTTCATCTAGATGACGCCACGCTCCGTCGTCTCTCTCACTTTCTTCTGGAAACCGGTCCGGTGACGCTAGTTTGCGTATATGGCGACTAGCCGTACTAGTGAAGGCCATGCTGTATGCTTGAGAGAACGTGTCTTTCACGATACCTTGACGTTTTATCGTCAATTGGTCGTGCGTTTAAAAGATCGTACCGCGCGTTTGCTCGGCTTCGGATACCGAAAATACTACAGAACACGTTCGAACGGCTCAATCGGGTATACGGAATTTTCCAAGGCTTAGAATACTCCCACGAGTGAAGCTGTTCCTGAGGCTGTCACGGAGGTGAAGTTTTGGCGGACCCTCGTATTCTTGCTGAACCGAGACGGTATGTACGATTTGCCCTTCCGGGGGTTGCGGCAGATCCGCGTCTGTGACAACAATCTTTGGCGGCGGGATATTGTTCTCCAGGTCTATATCTTCAGGTCCATGGATCTGTATAGAAGTCATGCCTCCATGCTCGGTAGGCACTAGGTCAGACGGACTTAAGCTGCGTCGATATCCGCGACGATCTTTTTGCTTCCGGCCGATGACAGAAGGGTAGTAACTACGACCTCGTCCGCGCCTAGGTGCTTCGCCGAGACCCAGCTTCCAAAGACAATGACGGACGAGCGGACGAAATGTGGCGATACTCCCCGCTGTTATTCCGATTCCTGGTTCAATGGTGCTCCATAGAGCAACGTCGGTAGTAGCATATAAGAAGTCGGGGCCTTCCACAAGTGTGTGGATGTAAGCCATGCGAATGACTGTACCGGTGCTTCCGATTGCTGCAAATGCAAGGATCGATGCAACCAGCATCTTTGTTTTCGGCCTCATCTCTAGGCCCCAAACAATAAAGAACGGGAGCAGCCCGAATCCCCAATCAGCGAGTGCGTTCACTGCGGCAAGCGCGTAGGTAATGCCTAAGGTGGGTCCTCTTGGAATGCACTTGCTTGAAGCTGGGTGCTCCAGCCAAAACGCAGAGACTGTATTCATCAGCAAGTGCGGAAGGTGAGCGTCGGAAAAGGTCTTACTGGGAAGACACTGAAGCATGACTAGAAAGAGGTAAATCAGACCACATAGTACCGTGCCTAGCATTAGCAATCTGATGCACCAGATGTGCCAGCGTTCAACGGCGACCCTAAGGTAGAAATAGCCAATAGCAAACTTGAGCAGGCAGTTTGCTATGACGTAGAAGATTTCACACAAGTACCAGAACTGTGTTGAGTTAGACGCGAGAATCCTAAGCAATGACGTTGAACTGACCATGAGTGCAGTCTTTCGATCATGGTCGCTCAAATCCCATCGATGCCTTCCAGTACCATGTATCGCGGCGACGATCTGACATGGCAGGTACACTGTGAAGACCGCCTACAAATTTGGATAAGCACAGCCAACCACATGTATTTGAAGTGTGACAACTTACTAGCGACGCAACCATGAACGAGTCGTCTTTTCCCCATGTCTTCATCAATATTGCTCGCACATAAACTCGTAGGCAGACCGTCGTCCATGTGAGCACGAAGAACAGTGCAGCCACAGCGAATACTTCGCGACTGCGATCGTCCTTGCTCATATTTCAGGCTCTGCTCAGCGGTTCCGGTTTCGCACATCCATTCGACACGTTGCTTGCCAATCTTCGTGCAATGGAGAGTTGTTTGAGTAATCAGCGGGGGAGCGAGAAAAGCTCCGGTATTAACGAACCCTGAAGCCTAGGGACCGTTGATAGTCGTCCCAGCTGCTTACTCTCCGAACTGGCCAGGCATATTGCCGCAAGTTACCAATGCGAAGCCATCGACCCACTATCGGAGATCGCGTTCGTCCTCGAGTCAGTGCCGACATCCTGTGAGCTTCATTCGTTGACGAATCGTGGTACATTCAATAGCGGGCTCCTAGTCTGTGATCTTGCTGCCAGCCACAGCACGGAGATAACTCCATGAAAACGCCACACGGCTAATATCATGCAAGTAAGTTTTGACATGTATGGTCCAGATGTCAACTGCCGGAACACTAAACATAGGTTCTGATGGTTAGCTTTGTCTAAACTTCTACCATTCCCATGGCAAGATCAACCGTTCAAATGTGGGGATCGTCATCTCCCGACCACGGCTCGAGGCTATGAAAGATGACACAAAGCGCGCGCTGTCACTGCCAAGGTGATAAGCCGAGTGCAAAAGCCGCGACGAAGTAGCGTTGGTGGAAGCAGTCTGGTGTTTTGGAGTTGAGGCTAGGCTAATCTTGGCGAAACGGAGGATGCCGTGCCGCGGTTGTGATCTCCACAGGGATAGCCGTTGAGCGAAAAGGGTTGTAGCTTGGCAGGCCTGGACTTCTGGCAGTCCCAGAAAATGTCTCTCCGATCTAGTAGTTCACTCGTCATAAGCGCCATCTTCACTGCATCACAACCGCGATACTTTGCGCTACGAAGAATGGTTGCTGCAGTGCCCTGAGTAGGTACAATCGGGAAACGTACCCGTGCAGCCTACGACCCGTTAGCTTAATGCGTTATGCTCGGTCACGCGTAAATTGCAAATTACCTAGGTATCCCTATTTCACCTAACGACTGCTACGCCATCGCTTCTGCATTATGTTTATATTCCTCGGAGACACAATCGAGAAGCTTCTGTCATTGTGTCTGATTGTCTTTCAATTCATTCGTCTCACAGCTTGTTTCAGCCACTGCAGAAACGACTGCCCACAGCCGTTAGTTTGCTGTGAAAGATCGCGTCGCAAGCTTCCAAAGCTTATTGATTATACTCAATTGTCATATTATACTTTCTGGTCGAGTCGCAGGTAACACTCAATCAAATCGTGGTTTTCATGTTTCCGGTCGTCCAATGCTCAAGATCATGTTTCGCATCAACAGCTCACGGGTGGCTGCACAGCACTATGGGGAAAACAGTTTGCCGTCCCGCAGTAACTTGAGCTTGTTGTCTCAAACACAGTCGCACACCTGGGGATATAACCCACACTGTCTCACAGGTCTCAGCATCCAACTTCCATAAGTTGTCTTTCTCGGTCATTACTTCTCTGTATAGTAGGTACACCGTCGAAACCACTTACGGCTAACAAGTTGTAAATTCATCCTTTCTGCTTGCAGTATTGGAACTCATTGCCATGGCTTCCCAACCTTCTAATAGTGGCGCACTTCTAGATGGGCTCCGATACTATCTTCTTCGCAGTGATGCTATGGGGGGTAGTGTAATGGTCCCACTGGTACCGGTAGATCAACTACCGTTTCAACTCCAAGGAATTCCGCGCCGGCTGACCCATCGCCAAATCTCAGACGAAGGCTGGAAACTCTGTTCAGAGACTAACGAGGTGTCATCAGCGCTCGCGATGCAAGCGCCAATAACGAACAGCTTCCTAACCCAACCCAGTCCGACTACGAGCCCCCAATACTTGGCACCAGATCATCATGTACGTGCTGGACCGCAGATGACATCTGTAGACTACTATCAGCCTACTCGATTATTCCGTCAATCTCCAACCGTCGCAAATTCAGCTCAGTCTCTAGCTCTTGTGAAGTCGCCAGATCAACGTCGTCCGACGCCTAGCATTACCCTTGAAAGTCCTTTATCGCTAACCGACACCTTCGCATCCATCTATCCTAAAGATGCAAAACGCCTTGGTTACCGCCTCCCCCATCCATCCGGCATCGAGCCTGATCCATCCAAGAAAGAGTACTGCACGCACTGGATCCAAACTGGCGAATGTAGCTTTGCGGCTATGGGCTGCAAATTCAAACACGAGATGCCTGGTATCGAGAAGCTGCGTGAACTAGGCTTCGTTCGAGGCATACCGAGATGGTGGAAGGAGAAAACTGCTATCGTTTCTAGACCGCCCACATGGATGCAGCGACGGCTGGCTGGGAATGAAGATGCGGAGTATGCAGGGGAAGTACCAGAACCAAGGGAATTCCCTGACCCATCTACCCTCAAACTGAGGGCCACTGAGGGACGCGATTTATTTAGTGAGGAAGTACAGCAGCCGCGTAGTATTCTCAAGAGAGATCTCTCTACTAAGCAAACCACAGCAGGTTGCCTAACTCCGCCAGCAGCGATAGTCAAGCAACCGACTCGGTGTGCGAGCCACATGCCAGATCTGCTCATCGACCTCGATGATGCTCCCACTCCATCACCTAGCCCCCAGTCATCCTGTACATCAGCGGCCAGCTTAGGACTAAGCAAGGCCCAAATACCTTCCAGTAACCCCTCTGCCTCGCCACTATCGTTGCCTATTCTTGATCGCAACCCCTCGGTACTGACCGCTTACAAAGCTCCCTCCAAGGCCCCCTCAATCGACACACCAGATAGAGAATCAAGCACCCGGCGCCACTCCGAACACTCGTGGACTTCCAACACCGAAGACGACGCCCCCATCTCCACATCCACCATTCCGAATGTCAAGGTCAAGCTCCCTCGCCCAACCCAAGAACGACGTGAACCGCATTCCCGCAACACAAATGACAACAAAAAGCGCCTTACTACCACACATACTACACCCACTCATACTGCCCTAACCAAACCTCAGTCCGGTCTCGCATCCTCCAAGCATGCCACTATCACCTTTCTCTCTGACTCTTCAAGAAACAGCTCCACGAAAATCAACGCAGCAAAAAACTCGTCAAGCCGCAATAAGAATGCCAATCGCAAGGGATATAGTAGAGGAGGAGTAGTCGACGGACCATGACTTTGCGCCAAGATTGAGCCCTTGAGGCGGAACGTGCATCGTAATGCTAAAGTGAGAAAGGGGACCGTTGTTGCGATTGCAGCCTGAGAAAGGTAAGAGAAGGATGGTAGTGGAGGTACATGCCATGAGACGATATTTGGAACAATACGTATAACCAAATGGTAGGTGGGTGGTCAGTATGTATGCAACACAACAGAAAAAAAAAGAACCCGTACAGACTGTATACTTGTTCCGGGTGGCTGTACTACCTACATTCCCATTCTTTTCTTACCTTCTCTGATCCAGACTTACTGTATTTACATCATTTACAGTAGTTGTGTAAGGGTATGCTGAATGTTAGTATCGACAAGGAAAATTGATTTCGGTATATTGCCATGCGCGGGCCCGAGATTTGCATACTGCTTTGGTATTGGTTTCGGTGTTGAAATTGCGAGTAGCGACGCGCTATATCGAAGAAGAAAACGAGACGCCGAAAAATACGCCGATGATGCCGCTTCTTCATCAAGCAAAGAGATGCCCCCTAGATCAATCATGGTTGCACGTTCCTGTACAAACCGCCCACAAACCGCCGCCCAAATCATTCGTCTAACAGAAAGTAATAAAAAAGAAACAGCGCACCTCGACTACGCACCCCACTTCTTGACCGCCTCTCCTAACTCCTTGGTGAGGCCCCTCCGCACAGCCAACAACTCTTCTTTTGCGTTCTCAGCCTCCTTCTCGCTCCTCTCAACCCTTCCTCTCAGCTTTTCCACCTCGTTCCTCAACTCTTTCCGTAATTCTTTACTAGCCTCTTCGACAGTTTTTAACCGATCTACTTCCACGCGTACCTTCTCGCCAGACGTCTCGACAGATTCTAACCGCTCTTTCATGGCCATCATTTCCTTCTTGATGCTTTCGAATTCCATTTCTAGGCCGCGGTATGCATGTGATTCTTTCTCCATGCGCTTCTGGAGATCTATTTTTTCTGTTTGGAGACCGTTGACAGAGGCTTTGAGTCCGGCATTCACATCTTTCAGACCGGCATTCTCATCTTTGAGGTTTTGTATTCTGTCTGTTAGTGCACGATTAACGCGCTCTGGCGCAGGGCTACGTGGACTTAGAATCGATGATGGTGACGGTGCTGTGGTTGATTGCTTGAGATTTGAGGGCACAATGATCTGCTCACTGAGGGTGCGTCGAGGGTGCTTCTTGGGACGAATGGCTGATGCGATTCCGGTGTAGTCTTCGTCGCGTTCGCGTTTGATCTTGACATTTAGGCTGTCTGTTGCTGCGCGTTTAATGGGCGGCGCTTGGATATCTTCTGTCATGGATCTTGATAATGAAGCTATTTCTAGTCAGTATAACCACGAAGTTGATAACGATAGATTTCAACATACAGATGGTGGATGATCGTTTTGGCCGGACAACGATCGAGTCCTTTTCATAAGGAGTACTCGGTTCTGATTTTCTCGTGGGCGGCAGCAATGGTCGTTCTCCCTCGTTGTGCACCCATAAACACGCGTCCCGAAAATTCCTGGTAAACATGGTCGGATCCGACCTTGTCCGACATAGCTCTTTCACGTGGCCAGCAGCCAAGAAGTAGTAAAGAATGAGGGCCGACACGCGATGGATGGCTTTGGACCCCCCCATATCGTCTCCAACATCACAAAAAGGCGCATGGAAGGCAACAGTACTGGTACTATTCACAGCTTGCAGCTCGCTACTGCCGTCATCCAATTCGGTTATGCGATAAAAGCTGACCTCGGCTTCATCCTCGTGGACATGGGCGGTGACGCGATCAATGGGTTCATCGTCGTCGCCGGCGGGGCCTGGCGCATATCCGCCGATGACAAGCAACTGCTTGTGGGTGGAGCGACCGAGGCCTCGCCAGATGGCCCTGCTGATGGTGAAGCTCTCGTCGAACTGGATCCAATGCAGTCTTGCAGCGCGCGGTAATGCGCGAAAGGGCGCGGCAAAATTCGCACGAGCCCATGCTTGGACATTGTCGTTTGTCAGGGGTGATCTTGTTTCATTGAAGTCGGTCATTGTGGCGATTGATTGGTGTGGTGTCACCCGTTGTTGCGCTGAATTTCAATGGGGCGCGCCTTGATTCGCAGGCACCGAGTTTGCGCAATTGCGGGTTGCCGAGTGGTGACGAAATGGTGCTGTTTCTGGTCGCGGTGTGAAATTGTACGACGAGCACAGGTCGCCGCCATCGAAGCCCAGTTGGTGGTCGGATCACGGCGACATGTTCTGAGAAAGCTGTGTAGAGGTTGACGCAGGCAGAAGTCAGGCGGGATTCCTTCCGCTGCCCGTTATTTGCGGGGCTGGTAGTGGCTGGACGACTAGAACGGAAGGTGTGCAGCGCGGCACCACTTTGACACATGCAAGACGGCTATCGTCGCCAGCGTCATCGCACATTCGCATGTCTGCGTGTTTCGCGCCTGTCTGGTCTGTTTTTCTGGTTTCGAAAGTGCGCGATCAGTATTGTGGGAGGAGCAGCGTACCCAGAGCTATAACCTGGCTCCCACTGACTGGTTGAGCGCATCGCGCGCGTGACCTTGACCATACTCGATACGCTTGGCAATGACATTCTGGACAGTTAAAGTTGGAAATAAGGTTGCAGACGCGACAGACAAGGTTCAGGATGGTCCTTGTCAGCCCGGACGACGAGTTCATCGGCAGTTGGCGGATGCTTGCGCTAGCGGTCGAGGCGATCAGTTCCCGCGTGTTGTACATATACTATGTATAGGGCATCCAAGGTGTCCAGGGTGGTGACTCGTTCCTCAGACAGTCATACAACGAAACCGACATGTCAGTGTGTATCTCGGACTGGATTTGGCTTCTCTGCGGCGGCCAACGATGGCGAAGTGCATGTGGACGGAAATGGCGGTCATGAAAGCGGATCCTCTGGTCAGGGTGTACATGTGCTTTTTCTGCTGTCGACGATCGATCGAGGCATGCCGCAACGAGGTACATCCGACATCATAACGGCCATGCATGCTCAGGGCTTCGAGATGTGCCCCGAAGTGTATCCGGGCGCCGAATGAGGCAATCCGACGCGTCTACGTCATCACCTTTTTTTCTGCGACACGCGCCACACTTTCCATCTTTGTTACCACTCTACATATGCCAACCTGGCTCTGCCACGCTTCCTGACAGCTACGATATTTGTAATCATCGTGGCATTCCTGCTCAGAGCACCGTCACCGCACGCGCCAAAGTTTACAATGCCCCGCCGCAGCGCGACCTCGTCAGCGTCAGCCGACACAACTACCACCACCAAGCTCCCAGACAAGGTCCAATGGCCATCCACATTCACAGACGGACTTCCACTTCCTAAAATCGTTGTTTTCGACCTCGACTACACACTATGGCCCTTCTGGGTGGACACGCATGTCACAGCTCCGCTGAAGCCTGTAGAAGGAGGCCTAAAAGTAAAGGACAGATATGGCGAGGGCTTTGGGTTTTACAACGACGTGGGAGGCATACTAGCAGCTGTTAGTACACAGTCGTCTGCTGATACAATGGGAAGTTTTAACGCCCTCATAGCTTAAAGACAAGAACATCCTGATCGGCGCAGCCTCGCGCACGAGTGCCCCCGATCTCGGCCGCGAAATGCTCAAGCTCCTCAAGATACCCAGTCCCAACGGGTCGTCCTCGCGCGCAATCGACTACTTCGATCACATGCAGATCTATCCCGGTAGCAAGACGACGCACTTTGAGAGGATACACAGAGACAGCGGGATCGAATACGAGGATATGCTCTTCTTCGATGATGAGAGCAGAAATAAGAACGTAGAGGCGCTTGGTGTGACTATGCAACTTATAAGAGATGGTGTAACGAGAGATGAGATTGACAGAGGTGTGCAAGCCTGGAGGAAGAGGAACGGCCGGACAAAGGCGCTAGAGGGATGAGAGGATAGCGCTCTATGTGCTTGAGAAAGAGCTAATGCCCAGTGTATTTCCATTTGAATGAAGCAAGATACCCATGAGACACCCAGGACGATTGAGCACCAGTAGGACGCCACGCCGTCACGGCCTGCAAGCTCGCTCCAAGATGACATCTTATTACTGCTCTTGCACCATAACCACATTATTGACTGGTACCAAGGCGCACCTATGCAACCGGCAAGAACAACTGGTGTTCTGGATTCCTGTCCCGTATACGCACCTTCAATCGCTGTGGTGACGGCCAGATGAAAAGCAGGCTTGACATCCGCAGCCTTACGCCTCCTATGCGGCCATTTCTCGGCAACGCTCATCCACACCTTGTCTGCTATCGTTTTGAAACCCCTCATCAGTATAGTTGTTTCAAATTCCGATGGCCAGCCTGATGCAAAAGCAATTGTGTGGGTTGGACGTTTTACCTCGCTGATCGCTCCAGCGTCGCGTGAATACTGCGCTCGTTCTTTTCTTCTTATTCCCTCTTTCCAAACATTTCAAACGACAATCTCGCGACCAAATGCAGTTCTCAAGGAATTTCAGACACTGATATACCGTCTATTGACGACTTTGAAACACGATGCACCATTTCAGCACTAGACCACCTAGGGAATTTGCTCTCTGAACCGGGGATTACAATTTGTAGTGGCCGAAGGATGAAAGTGGGGGTATGCTGCTCGCGCATTTGTCAGCCCGTCCCAATCCAGTACCGAGCACGATCAAGCTTTGTCGTAAGACAATCCCTATCTCTTCATAGGGCAGAAGTGACAATTGGGACACCTCAAATTGAGCGGGTAGCAAACCATATCCCTGCTTGCTAATCAGCACTCGATGGCAGAGCAGGCACATGTGCTCTGGTGTAGCCAGTGTAAGAAGCCTTTTTCGAAGCGTCAGTACATTTGCTGGATTGTCATGTATACGAAGCCAAAGATGGCAGACTGACTGTCCCAAAGAGTCAACGTTAAAACGTCATGGGTACTACTGTCGGTCCAACAAGAAAGAACCAGTACAGAGACGAAGATCATGCACAGCTTGCGCAAAAGCCAAGACCAGCTGTGACAACGCACTGCCAGCATGCTCACGCTGTCTCCGGAAAGACATCACGTGCAAATACCCTTCATGTTCTGCAGTGAAAAGACGCAACCCTGTAAAAACACGGCATGACATACCCGACCTGCATGGTTTAGATCAAGATCCTACAAACACCTTGGTATCAACAACACCCGAACGGATCCACGATATTCAAGAGCTGATGCCGGCCCATGAGAACTCCATGCTGTCCGCTGATATACAGTGGAACCTCCACGACACTGCGACCTTTGACGACTTCATACGTTCTACGCCTGACTTGAATCTTCTTACAGCAACACCATCTTATTCGCTAGCTTCGGTTGGCCAGACCCCCGTTTCGCCGCCTTTGTTACTTCCGGAAACAGCAGATGTAGCATTTCAAGAGCAATCTCAACCCGCTCCTCAGCGGCAGCGACAGGATTACGCTTCATGGCTGGTGAGCTCTTCCATCCCACCAATTCCTAACCAGAATGTACGATCAATGATGCGACGACCAAATATGCGTCCCGGAGTAGACAGAACTGCCAGTCTGTTATTCTACACTCTTAAATCTTACCCGCTAATGCTGCGTCGAAGCACTCTTCCCCCATTCATCCACCCAAGCTGCGTTTCATTCACAGATGAAGGTACAACAAACGAGCCACTTGAAAACTGCATTACCTTGATACACATGATGGCGAATGGAATACAAGGTAGCCGAAGGCTTTTCTGGCGCAACGTAAAGCAAGAATGTGAACGCATGTGTCAGAACCAGACTCTCGGTAGATGGGAACTGCTTGGTGCTATGCAAGCTCTTTCGGTTTATGTGCTGATCCGTCTGGACGAGGGCGAGACTGAGCATAACAATGTGGACTTTCTTCTGGAGAAGGCCGTCATTGTAAGTTTGTTGTATCCCCTTTCGTAAGAAGCTTTTCTGACAACGATCTGCCTAGCTTATCGCAATACAACTGTCTCATGACGACTTTGAATGCCATGCAGATTACGTATCGTGTCGCAACACATCTGAAAGCAGCTGGCAAGACTGGGTCTATAAAGAGTCCCAGCGGAGGTACGCCAGCTATTGGCATTATCATTCCATCCCTACTTGCTGACTGCTCTGGCAGACTTGCAGTTATCTATCGCGTCCTGAACAAACTCATCTTCTTTGAACCAGCAGCTATGTGCGATATGCCTGGAGAATTTGTGATTGCACCTTTGCCCGCGAAACGGCAACTCTGGGAGGCAAAAAATACACAAGACTGGAAATCACAGAGCCAGACGGAGCCACAGGGACAAATTTCGTACGCGTTGGCCGTCGACGGCGAGATCATCAAGTTAGATCAGGGAAGGCTATCCTGCCGCGACGCGTGGCTACCATATGCTCCGTCAGATAAAGAACCCGCTTCTCAGATTCACAACAACAGAAGTATTCGTTGCTCAAACTTGTGGGCAGAGTGGTGTTCTGGTATGGACGGTATGGGCGGGTTGATCATGCTTGTAGCGTCCCTGACATAGCGGTATGAACATGGGGATAGGGCCGAGACGCTCTAACGACAATCCATCGGAGAGGACTACTTATTCGTATCCAAGCATAAAATTTCACGTATGGAAAGCCCATTGTTGTATGGCGGAGAGTACCATGACCATGGTCGGAGTTTACGCGCGCCGGACGGAACAAATTTGTATCCCAAGCACAGTGTAGATGATGACTTGCAGCACTACATGTCCATTTCCGATGAGATTTCTCAGTATAAGACCGTAAAGATGCCCTCCAAGACAAGTAGTCACATACTCCGGACTCCAGTGTTGTAAGTCGCAGATTACACAGCAGCCAATCTTTTGTCCAGCTCTTCTATCCCAACATAGCTCAGTGAAGTCGCCATGGTTTCCGGCACTCCACCCTTCCCGTCGCCTGTCAAGCGCTGGCATAATACGGCTCAACCCGCCGGCAATCCTAACCTCGCAGCTCTCTCTCAGAAAGGCAAATCGATCATGGTGACGGGTGGAGGCAACACTGGCATCAGAGGAGAGACAGCACGCTTCTTCGCTCGCGCAGGTGCCGCGCGCATTGGTCTGCTTGGGCGTCGTGAAGGCCCTCTACTCGAGAACAAAGCCTATATTGAGAGAGAATCTCCTGGTACCATTGTTTTCATCCAGAGCACCGACGTCACCGATGAGGCTTCGGTCAACGCTGCATTTGACAACTTCGCCAAGGATGGCGAGATCAACACACTCATTCACGCCGCAGCAGCTGTTGGGTCGAAGGATAATTTCGCGGATGTCGACGGCCGCGAGTTTCTCAGAGCTATTACCGACAACCTCGAGGGTTCTTTGTGGGTCGCAAAGGCCTTTATTCGTACAGCTGCCCCAGATGCTCATGTCATCGCCATCAACTCTTGGGGTGCTCATTTGAGTCTCAACAATGCCTTCGCCTCCTATTGCGTTGCCAAGATGGCTGTTTATCGCTTATGGGATACCGTGCTTCTGGCAAAGCCAAACCTCAGTGTCTTCCATACCCAGCCCGGCGTTGTCCTAACTGAGATGAACCTCAGAGTCGGCGGTGCGGACAGCTTCAAAGATGTGAAGACTGATGATGGTAAGATCTAATTTTACACTACGCAATACGGTGAAACTAACAGCTCGTCATCTAGTCACTCTCCCGGCAAGCTTCAATCTCTGGCTTGCGACCCCAGAGGCCCGATTCCTCAAAGGAAAGTTCTTGTGGTGCAACTGGGACATCGACGAGCTCAAGTCTCGTGCCAAAGAAATTGAGTCTAGCAGGCTACTCAACATCGACCTTGTCGGCTGGCCATTCGATACTCGCACTGATTAGTCTATGCGAAGAGTGATCTAGAAGATGTAATTAACTTGGTGGATCATAGTCACGTATCTTCTAGGATGGTCGGCAGATTCCAGCGTTTCGGTCTTGTACAGAAAAGGCGATTCGGGTTCAATGTACAATCATACATAAACCTGAAAGTACGCCTTGCTGATTTATCCTGAATCTGTGACGGCCAATAGGAGATGAGAATCAAAACAGGCTGGTAATAGAAAGCAGTCGCTTGTAGGATTGGAGGACGCTGTGGTGACGTCACGTCAACGACGCTAACATTAGATACCAAGCAGGCCTCCAATACGCCCTGCATGTGGATGCCTTGAGCGACATTAGATTCATCAGAACGTACAATGAACCTGCTGTTATATTCGTCATTCCTTTCGCGCAAAGCGCTTTCACGAATACCTCATACCTGGTGTTACCATCATGTCACCCTCAGTTGAACAGAAGCTTCCCACGGAGCTACTAGAACAAGTACTATCTTTCGCTCCTCGCGATTCTCTCCCAAGTCTATGCCTAACCTCAAGAGACTTCAACCGCATCGCCACGCCATTTCTGTACTCAGAGATAGATCTGAAGGAGACGCACCATCTTCCTGCCCTCGCGTACTTGATGTTTACCTCCCCAGCCCACGCCGCTCTTGTCGAATCATTAATCGTACCTGATGCATGGGCAAGGACCGAAGGGAAGTCTCGTGACTGGTCGTGGCCTGGACTTAAAGACACAGAGGTGCAGAACGTCTTGAAGGCCAAGAGTGCAGCATTTACGTCTAGCGAAGAAGAGGCCAACGAACTCTATGGTAAGATTTCATCTGGCGAGAATGAGGATGCTATCATGGCAGTGTTACTCGCTTGTTTTCCTAAGTTACGACGACTGGATTTCAGGGTTAGCACTGGAAAAGCCCCAGCAGACTCAAAGACGGTATCTCCGGTGTCGCGCAATGATCACGTTGATTTCCGTTTACTGTGGCCTAAGATCATGAAAAAGGTACGATCACCTTGCGGCTCCACAAGGGAAACGATCAGAAGAGTTACGAGTAATCCATCGCAGGTAGTACAACTGCCTGCAGTTTCAGACCATATCGACATCATGGTCAGATTCACAGGGCCGGTGCGCAGGTACTCCAACTACACCTTACATCTGGCAAACTTCTTCCATCTGCCCAATGTCCGCTCTATATACGGATGGAGGCTTGGGGACATGGGTGATCCTCCGGATTTGGAGGATCCGAAGAATCCGTTCGCAACGCTGCAACCTCGATCATGCCAGGTGGAATATATCGAACTGCGTCGCTCCCAACTACACAAAGACCATTTCCAGCTTATGATGGATGCAACCATACCCGGGAAATTGAAGACGTTTAGCTACGAGATTGGCGATCGATCATGGTCTTGGTGTGGTACGGATCACCAGTCAATTATGAAGAGCCTGCAGCCGCATTACGAGTCACTGGAAGGACTGAGTCTGAGCTATGACAGTGCCTATCTCTATCATGACAAACGAATTCGCGATAATCCTGTGGTATGCTCATTCAAGTCCTTCCTCGCGCTGAAGCGCCTTAGAGTCGCTCCTCTATATATATGGTCTCACAGGACACTGTTTCGCCAAGCCAATACGCAACGTTCTTCTCACGAGCGACTTTGGTCTGTGTTACCTGGAAACCTAGAAGAGCTCTGGATCACGAGGACCCATGACCAGACTCGGGTTGGCGGGCATGACGGAGATTTCCCATTCGCCTCGAATTGTCTACTTCCCGCGCTTCATCTTGTCGTGCAGAACAAGTGGAGTGCTTTCCCCAAGTTGCGTCTCTTGCGGATCGAATTCCCTCTGCTGCACTGGAAGGACGAATGGTTCGACGAACTAGCATTGATCTGCCAGCTAGCCGCCGTTAGGGGAATAAAAACTACTGTCATTTTGTGTGACATGTTTTATGAAGGCAGTCCTTTTACCATCGAGCGACTTTGGGGCTGGAACGAAGATATTGAATGGGAGTCGGATACTAAATGGCAGCCAAACGCAACTAAGGGCACCAATCGAGAATGCGCAAAGGTATGGATCGACGCAACACAGCAGAAACATCTCGCTGCAATACTCAAAGACATGAAGGTCAGGTTCGAGGAAGAGAACGAGATGTTTCGTAAGGCCGGCAGTGTGGTATATGAACTACGGGGATCAAGTGAAGATTCTCGGATCCGCAATTTGGAGTATGGCTATGAGGCTAGCAGAGATCTCGGCTTCCCTGAACGGTTCGTTGATGAGCGGCTGCAGAAAGAGCCGTACTGGAAAGGACGCGGTAAGGATACTATACTATATTCCAAGTCGGTGGCTAGCTGAAACCCAGATGACGTGTAGAGGACGGGGAGAGACACCAAAACCGAATTTTCTTTCGGTTCATGATACGATCTTGTACGACTATTGGGTCGAGTGTAGCTCTTAAAGCATTCCTGAATAAGCACGATTAAGCTGCTTTAGCCTAGTCCTTTGTTCCCTTTCTCGCTGTCGTGTTTAGCCTTAGGCTTTACTGTACAACCTAGGTGTCGGGTTCGGTTTCGATAGTGTTACAGGCACAGCAAGAACGTTGCATTTAAAGATATAATAGGACGGTGGGACCATTAACTTGAAAATTGATGGTACTTTGTCGTAACATTGGTTTGGTCTAAGGTTGGCAAACTTTGAAGAGAGAGTTGCAATCTTGGGCTACATGCTTTCTCATGTAGTGGTGAGAGTAATCGTAGGCAAAAACAACAACACATAATGTACATGACTTATACCAATTCGATTCAGTTTCAACAGTCTTCCCGCTTTGCAGAGGAAATGCCCTCGCCCTTGATAAGGAAAAAAACCTCCAAACGCCTTCGCTATGCATCAAAAGCAAAATATTTTACTTTCTCATTCCAGAGAAATCCTTGAGAATACCAATCATGTGGGTGTTGGTCTGCTTTCCACCACGACGAGGACCCTTCTTCTTCTTGGTCGTAGGGGCAGCAACAATGACCTTGGCTTGGGTAGCAGCCGTCAATTTGTTGGCTAACAGGGCCTTGCGCAACTCATCAGGGTTATCCGGTACCTGAACCGAGTGCCACGCCTTTGCGAAGACGGGGTCCATGGGCAGCATGAGAGAGGGATCATTGCCCCAGACGGTCTTTGGCACGCCGTCCTTGGCGCGTCGCACCAGCACCTCCTTCTTGTCTTCCATCTTTGTAATGTCATCCGCCACGGTGGACCAGCCATCTTTGAGGTCTTTGATCTGAAGTCCCATGGCCGACTTTTGCGTTTGGAAATGGCCTTTTAGCTGTGCACGGTCGTGGATGCTGAGCTTGCTCTTGTACTTGTAGCGCTCGTTGGCAGCGTCCCAGCTGATCCTGTTGCCTTGGTTGTCGGCGCGCATGAGCTGGCGGAGCTGTTCGCGCTGTATGTGGCCGGGCTGGATGTTGAGATATTCCATTATGTCATCGAAGGTGTGCCATTTGTCCTTTCGTTCGCGCAGGAAGTCGTTGACGTAGGTGAGGCGCGTGAAGACATGCTCGCCGGTGCCTGTGTCCTGCGGCTGCGAGTAGACGACCGGGGGCGCTCCATCGGCAGGACGCTTGCGCTTGCCGCTGGCGGACGAGGACGAGGGTGTGGGTGAAGGGGCATTCATGGCCGTGGCCGAGTTTGCCTTGAGGAACGACATGGTTGGCGTAGTTGGTTGTAGTTGTGGATGGGAGATGTCGATGTCGGCGGTCGGGGCGTGCGGCGTCTAGTTAAAGAGTCGCAAGCGAAAGTCTCGCCCTGCTGGGAGTAGTAGGACGGTAGTGAGCGTGGGTGAAGGTGTTGTTGGCGAAGACGTCGACTGGAAGCGTCGGGGAGAAAGACGGACATGTGCTATGACCTCAAGGCTGCCGCGCTAGAGCCTGGCCCCTGCGCGAACGTCGTCAAACAACTGCATCTCGCGACTTTGACCTGTGGACTCGCTAATTGTTCGCGTCAACACCGCCCTCCCTCCTTTGTATCCTTTCTGTCTGGGCACTCGTCGAGCGACTCTGGAGAATGCCTCGACGTCCCCAATAGATTAATACACGATCATGGCGGCGACGGTCGACGTTGGCTACCTGGCCGCGTCCTACTCCGTCCCCGAGACGACGCTACAGTCCTTACTATCCGAACCCACCATAGAGCTAGTCCAGACGCTGCTCACCCAAATCGAAGCCAAGGCACGCGCCTACGATGACTTGCAGTCGGACAAGATACGCACCGATGTCGAGCTCGAAGCAGCCATCCAGGGCGGCGAGCAGCGCGCGCGGGCCTTGAAGGCCACGGCAGAGAAGGCGCAGAAGGAGGCCGAGGAATTGAAGAAGAAGCTTGTCCAGGAAGGTATGAGATGCAAAGCTTGCCTGTCGCCAATTCATGCTGACGCGTTTACAGAAAATGCACGGCAAGAGGCAGAGTCGGCGCTGCACAACCTGCAGGCCACGGCTAGCAGCTCCTTGTCTGAGACGCAGGCTCTGGAGTCGCGCATCAAGACGCTCGAGTCCCAGAACCGCGACATGATTGCCATGCACGAGACCAAGACGACCGCACACGACCGCCTCGCGAAGGAGCTTACCGAGCAACACCAGAAGTCCGTCGAGCTGCGCAAGCAGGTGTCGGCACTCGAGGAGAAGACACAGTCTCTTGAGAGCGCTGCCACCAACGTCAAGTTCCGCGAGGCCAACCTGCAGCAGGAAATTGAGCAACTCCGGAGCAACAACGACTGGTACACGACCGAACTCAAGACACGCGCCGACGACCACAGCAAATACCGAAAGGAGAAGAATGCGCAGATTGCTCAGCTCCAGCGCGAGAATGCCGATGCCGCCGAGACCATTGATGAACTGCGCCGTGCCGAGACACTGTTGCGACAACACATTGAGGAGCTCAAGAGCAAGGCCGAGGAGGATCGCTTGCGTATCGAGGAGCTGGAGAACGCAGCATCAGCCGCCGAGGCTCACTTCCGCATCGAGCTCGACAGCGCACGCCGCCTGTCGACGTTGCATCAGCAGAACAACGACATGACAAAGAAACGCCTGGAGCAGCTGCAGGCAGACAGCAGCCGCGTCCAAGAGGAGGCTGCCACCGAGATCGGGCAACTGCAGGCTGAAGTCGAGGTGGAACGCGAAAGGGCTGCCGAAGCCGATGCGCGCACTGCTGAGCTGGAGACGCTCGTTGAGACCCTCAAGAGCGACAACTCCGATCTTAAAAGTTCCGTCCGTGTCCCTGGAACACCACGACATGGCATGAGCATGAACGGTGGCTTCAGCACCCCAGGCAGAGCAGCTTCGCCCGCCGTCGTTTTCTCTCCTGGCGGTTCGCAGCTCAAGACCGATGCGTCCAAGACTCAGCTGCTCATCGAGAACAACGACCTCAAGAAGGAGCTACGCAAGGTCCGCGAGAAGCAAGAAGAGCAGACCAACGTCCTCAACGAGATGCTGCAAGAGATGGAACGGGCCCAGCCAGAATTTGACGAGATTCGTCGTCAAAACGATGCGCTCATCGAGCAGAACAACGAAGTCTCCGCCCTTCTCGAGGAAGCTATTGCCGAACGCGAGGCAGCACAACGGGACTCGCGCAAGGCCTTGGGTGACTTCGAAGGCGTACACAACGAATGTGGTCTCCTGCGTCGCCAGGTTCAAGATATGACGATCCAGCTACGTACCTTGCTGTGGCGTCGGCAAGTAGAAGAGGAGGGTCTAGGTAGCCTCACTGAGGAACAGCAGGAGTTCATCATCAACGCTGTCGAGAAGAACGAAGTGCCTGACAAGCACATACCCGAAGACTCGCCTACACACAGCATGATCACCAAGCATCTTATTCTTTACAAGGACATCGCCAGCCTCCAGCAACAAAACGCCGAGCTGACACGCACTCTTCGACAAGTGGGCGACGAACAGGAGAGGCAAGAGGTCAAAATGAAGTCTGAGCAATACCAACACGACATCGAGGAGCTTGGTCGCCTACGGTCCGTGGTTGCGGAGAAGGAGGAAGAGATCAAGTCCCTCAACGTTCGCTCGCAAACACTCAAGACTGAGCGCGACATGTACAGCCGAATAGTCAGCGGCCGAGGACAGCAAGCATCTTTCTCCCAGTCAACGTCTGCATTTGCACAGTCAGTGCCCGCGACCGGAGGTGCCTTGTTGCTAGAAAATGGACCGCAATCCCGCGACATTCCAGAGTACAGCAAGCTCATCAAGGACCTTCAGTCCCACATTGACCTGCTTAAAGAGGAGAGTGCCACCGACCGCGCCACACTCAAGGCGCAAGTCGACAACCTCACCAAGGATAACTCACAACTTCAAAGTGATAAGCTCCGCTTTGAGTCGCAGGTGCGTCGAGAGCAGGACCGGTATGCTCGCCTAGAGGGAAGCATCAAACTGCTTCAATCCGAGAAGGACTCGCTTCAAGAACGCTACAACAAAGTCCAGGCGACTATGGCCCAGCAGGACGACAGGCTTGTCAAGGCAACTCAAAATGCCGCTGAAGCCGAGGCCCGTCTGCAGAGCTTACAAGGCGAGATGGTCCAGCTCAAGGCATCTCAACAAATGTCCGCAACAATTGAAGCTCGTCTCAAAGAAAGGAACCAAGAGTTGATGAGTGAGCGCGATCGGTTGAGCAACATGGTTTCTCAAATCCAAAGCTTACGTAATGAAGCTGAGTTGGCTACAGCGGAGAGTCGGCGCGAATTGCAGAACACGGTAGACAAGCTCCGGACCGACTTGCAGAGTGCCGAAAGCAAATTGGAGGATGAAATTGCCGAGCATAAGAAGGCTACTGCACAGCGGGAGTACGAGCGGACTGAAGCGCAACGACGAATTGACGATCTTATCGCCGCACGCAATAGTGCTGAGGTCAAGTCTGCGACTGCCGAATCAACACGCCAACAGCTGGAACAACGCATCAAGGACCTCCAGAATCAGCTCCAGTCCGCTGAGGAGCGCGTACAGGCTCTCCAGCCACAGACCAACGGCTCGAACGAAGAGCAGGATTCTGGCAGCCGTGAGGAACAGCTGGCCGAACAAGTTTCAGATCTCAAGCGTAAGATTCAGCGCAAGGAGGAGGACCTTGAAGCTGTTACTGCCCAAATTGCTGGTTTCCAGGACATCGCACAGGACGCCGAAAACCGATTACAGACCTTCGTCGAAGCCCACGAACGACTCCAGGAGCAACTCAATCTTGCACAAGAAGAGAAGGACGCAACTATCAGCGACCTTCAGCAGCGTGTTGAGGACATCTCATCTGAGCTTGCTACCAGTAGCACCGAACTCACTGAACTGAGGGGCAAGCATGAGCAAGACACCTTGGTACTGAGGCAAGAGAAGGAAACCCTGGAGGCAGAAATCACCCGACTCAAGAACGACGTCGCCGACTACAAGGCCGAGGCCGAGAACCAAACACAATACGTCAAGACCCAGGCCGACATTGCAGAGCGTGCCCAGAAGGACTACGAGCATGAGTTCCAGAAGCACGCCGAGAGCATGGAGAAGCTTCGCGAGCTACGAGACCAGCACAACCAACTTCAGTCCCAGATCACAGAGTTCAAAACACAGGCTGAAGCTGCACGAACGACACTGGAGCAAAGCCAAGACCACTGGAAGTCTACCGAGGGTCGATATGAGGAGCAGCTTACTGAAGCCAGACGCCGCCATGATGATTTGAAGCAATACAACCAGACTTTGCTCAAGCAATTCGACGAGTACAAGGAACAAATCAACAGCTTAAAGAACGACCGAGGCGCTGCGGCTGGTGAGACCGGTACCGCAGAATCCGGCTCAAGCAATCTCCAGGATATTGAGACGTATCTCCGCCGCGAGAAAGAGATCTTGGAGGTGCAGCTCAACCTCAAGGTACAAGAGTCGAAGCGTCTGGAGCAGCAACTCACGCACGCCCAAGGCCAGCTCGACCAAACGCGAGAGAAGTTGTTGGAAGAGCAGGCCAAGGCCTCTGGTTCCCACAGCAACTCCAGCCTTGCACATCTCAACAAGAACCTCGAAGAGCTCAATGTTTACCGTGAGAGCAATGCAACATTACGAAGTGAAAACACTCGTCTTCAAGCCTCGTTCGCCGAGAAGGCTAAGGAATTGGAAGACCTGCAGGCTCAATTAGAACCCTTGCAAATTCGCGTAACCGAGCTTGAGGGTGAGCTGGAGCTCAACGTCGGTCATCTCAAGGCTGTCGAAGAGGACCGCGACCGTTGGCAGAAGCGCCACCAGGATGTGCTCCAACGCTACGATCGCATTGATCCCAAGGAACTCGAGGATCTCAAAAAACAGATCGAAGACTACAAGGTTGAGCGCGATCAGGCACTCGAGCAAGTGGCAGGCCTCAATGAGCAGATCACAGCCCTTACTGGCGAGGTACAAACTGCTAATGCCGAGCGTGATAACATCCAGAAGTCTGAAAGAGAGAAGTTCCAAAAGAAGCACAACGAGCGCATGAAGGTTAAGAACGACGAAATCAGCGCGCGCACTGCTGAGCGAGACGAGGCCCAGAAGTCTGTTACAAACTTGCAGCAGGAGATTGAGCGCATTCGGCAAGAACTTACGAACGCACAGACAACAAGTGCGGGTGCTGGTCAATCCCAGGAGCGAATCGCGACACTTCAGAACGAGTTGGAGCAGATCCGAACGCAGCTCGCGACCACCCAGCAAGAACTCAATG